GGGGGGGGGGGGGTTACAAGAATTTTGCAATTTTAGTATTATATCCGTGGAATATAGATGGTAGAGAGATTTCTGATTGTGTTCCTTGCTTTTTTTTTTTGTGGAGGGAGAAGAAGGTATCCTAGAAGCCAATGGGTAGGCACATGCCCCCTCCCCCCCTCATCAAACCCCACCCCACCCCACCCCACCCCCTTCAAATCCCCATTGTATTAACCCTACTGCTGCCTGTTTTAGATGGAATGTTTAATCACAGCTGCCGAATCTCCTTAGTTCAAAATAATCTGTTCAGTTTTAAGTATTGATTGCCTTTTTCAGATGCCATTCATGTGGATGACATGAGATAAGCCAAACCTTCTAGACTCATACTAGTGTATGAATTTTATGTGAAATGCCACAGAAAATCAAGTTTTTAAGGGAATGTTATCCCTTGGTTAAAGGAGAATTATGATATTTCAGACATGATTTTTTCAGTGAAAACTCATACTTAGTAATTTGGTGGTTTTTTAATTCAATTCTGATGGTCAAGATCTGCAATAAAATAAAATAGGTGTTGGGTCCTATGATAAATGTTCAGAGGTTTTTTTTAAAAACCTATGCCTATATTTGGTGTTTGATTATATTTCTCATTTTTTGTATGGAATAATTTATGAGGGTGAGTTGGAGGGTAAAGACGTCATGGGTACAATTTTCAAGAGCTATATTATGAGCAACCTTAGAAGTAGCCTGTCTGGTTTACTAGATATGATTTTTGCTCCAGCAATTTTGCATCTTTCAGGATTCATTGATCTTTTTCTGCAGACACTCATAAAGATCACACAAGCTAATCCAATTTCTAAGATTTTGGATGGGAAATTTAGCCCCAGACTGCCATATGAACAGATTGATTTACGACTGTTGAGAGATTTCATATTTTTGTCTTTAGACCAAAGGATGTCTTTGACACCAACAAAAGCACACACAAAAAAAAAATCAACTGGTTCCTTGTTTTATATGATACCATAAAAACAGACAACATTTGTTTGTTGTAACCACATGGCAGAGATAGGGCTGGTGTTAGACCAACATGGCGTGTCTTGCTGTCATGAAGACTCTGTGTGCTCTTTGTTTTCAATTCAAAACTGAAGTTAAAAAACTAGTAGTTAGACTCTTTTGCAGACATGAAATCTGTCTCCATTTGTGCAATTTCAAAAAATCAAAAAAAAAACTACCTATTTGTTTTACTGAATGTCCCCTTCCCCTCCCCCCAAAAAAGGTTTTTAGCCTTTATGGAGGTTGCTGAATTTTAAATGGATATACTGGAAGAATGGAGTTGTTCTTTTTGAGGTTTTTTGTTTTCAACAGACCACAGCTGTTGAGTTGAAAACCCTGCAGGACATTTCCCATTAGATGATATCAAACATTTAGACACATTCATACAATTTTTTCCCTGAGACAGACTTCAGGGTAAAAATGTCACCAGTCTGTTAAATCAATTGGACAGTGATATATGATCCAAGGAATAGCAGGATTTCTCTCTCTCTCTCTCTCTCTCTCTCTCTCTCTCTCTCTCTCTCTCTCTNCTTTTGCAGACATGAAATCTGTCTCCATTTGTGCAATTTCAAAAAATCAAAAAAAAACTACCTATTTGTTTTACTGAATGTCCCCTCCCCCTCCCCCCCAAAAAAGGTTTTTGGTTTTTATGGAGGTTGCTGAATTTTAAATGGATATACTGGAAGAATGGAGTTGTTCTTTTTGAGGTTTTTTGTTTTCAACAGACCACAGCTGTTGAGTTGAAAACCCTGCAGGACATTTCCCATTAGATGATATCAAACATTTAGACACATTCATACAATTTTTTCCCTGAGACAGACTTCAGGGTAAAAATGTCACCAGTCTGTTAAATCAATTGGACAGTGATATATGATCCAAGGAATAGCAGGATCTCTCTCTCTCTCTCTCTCTCTCTCTCTCTCTCTCTCTCTCTCTCTCTCTCTCTCTCTCTCTCTCTCTCTCTCTCTGCAATGACATATCAATCAGACCCCCCCTTTTTTCAACCCCCACCCCACTGCTGCTTAAGATTTGGATCATTTAACCATATGTATATATTTTACTTATGAACAAATTTGGCATTATAATTCAGCTGCATGCAATATTTGTGACCTTGTGTGGCTTGGTTTATCTTTATTCAACATTTTTTACAGATCTGCCAAAACTTGATAAGGTTTATGCATGGCACGTGTCAAGTCCAGTTGTGAAATTTAAAGATTTGTCAGAAATAATTGTTTTTAGATTCAATATGTTTGTTTTTATAGGCTTATGTATTTATTCGTAGGTCTGCACATTTAGTTATTCATTTTTCTGATTTTATTTTAATTAATTAATTTTATTTATTTCCACTGCACCTTACACATTTAGCCCATAATTCATTTATCAAAGCATAAAATACTTCTAGCTTTGTTCTCCCATCCTTATCTATCTTCTTTCATTTTTCCCTAGATTTAAAAACCATTTAATTACCAAATCAACAGATCAAAGCACAGCATTTCCAACTTCTCTATCCCCCATTTCCTGTCCTTCTCTAGTCTCAGGAGAATTTTGATACAGTTAAAGCAATAATAACTCTTCGTTTCGGCCAAAAAATGAATTTTCCTGGAGTAAACAACAATTTTCCCATACTTACCAATGGTTAATGAATCCATTTTTACATTCAAAGTTAGTCCCTGGTTTTTTTCTAAAAAGTTTGGTTTTTTGTTAAAATCTCTTAAGAGAATTTAACAGAGTATAGCTATCAATGGAGGTCACGTGGTCTGAAGACAAGCTCAGATATCAGAATAATAGCTATAACTGCTGTTTTTGTGGTAAAACAGAATATATTATATTTCTATGAGTTATTCACAAGGTTTTTATTGTGAAATATACATCTCATACGAAGAGTTATTATCACTTTAAGCTACGTGTATACAGTTGTCTGTTAGGAATAGTCAATAATTATTGTCTACCACTGGGTGAGGAGAGCCCGAGGGTATGGGCAGGGAGAGGTGAGGAGAGCCCCAGGGTATGGGCACGGAGAGGTCAGAAGGCATTAGGAAGGACACTTAGAGAGTCAAGAGGGGTTCACTTAGGAGAGTCCAAAGGGGGACGCTTAAGGGAGTCCAGGGGGACACTTAGGGCAGTCAGTTGGTGAAATGGTTGTTCTGCTCAAAATTAGCTCAGAAAATAAACAATTTTTTTTCTATGATAATATTATTTAGTCAGATATTTTGTGATCTCTTGGTGTTGAATGTGCTGTTGTTTTTTCTTCTAGTACAGAGATATTGGAGTTGACAGTCACGAAGAAATCCTTAGTATGCTGAACAAACTACAAACTGTAAGTTAATACTTGTGCCATGTTCTGCAGTTTTTTGATAAAATTAATTTGTTTTCAATTTCAAATTTTGAATATTTAATTTTTTAAATGCTTTTTACTCCTTATTTGATGGTTAACATGAAAAAAATCATGGAAAATAATTATGCTTACAGAATGATTTGGTAGTATTCTTCAATTCCTGTGTAAAGGTTTGTGAATAATTTTCTGCAAAATTTGTCAAACAACCACAGGTTTTGAGGTCTTACCATGGAGGTGGACTTCTAATCTGGATTAAAGCATTGCTTAGCTAACCTTGATGAATAACTGTCAACATCTCACCTAACACATTTCACCATCCAACCCAGCACAATTCTTTGTCTCACCAAACACATTTCACCATCACACCCAGCGCAATTTAGTCTCACCAAACACAATCCACTGTGTCCTCTAACAGAATTGCTTTTTTTTCTCTGACAGGCAATGAAAACCTACCACATTTACTACAATGAAAGTAAACAGGCGGAGAACAAACTGAAGACAGCAGAGAGTCAAAAAGTGAAGGTTGAACAGCATGCTGGGAAGAGTGGGCTCCCCAGTAGGAAGTACAGGTCCATAGAAAAACAGGCGGAAAAGGTGATTTGAATTTTTATTTATTTATTTATTTATTTATTTATTAGTATTTTTTTAAAGATAGACCAAACTCGGCCTCACTCACCTACTCTTACTTATGAAATTGAGAAATTTTATCAAGAATGCTGAAAAGAATCTGACCACGTTTCAACAAATTCTCCTGCTTCTGGCATGATACCTGGGAACAAAAGTTAAAAAAAGTAGGAAACAATCCTGATAGTTCAAGTAACTTAGCATTTGGATACACAAGGCTTCATAACTTCATCACATCAGAGCAGCAGCTCATTCTCTGCTCTCACTGTCAAAGTTTTGAACCTCAGGGTACCTGTCAGAGTGTCAGGGGAAATGGGAAGGTTTGAATGGTATTAGGAAATGCTATATGTAACAGGAATTAAGGAGGAAATGTTGGTTTACTTGATAACCCTGGTTGCCCTGTATGTTATTTCAGTTTTATAATGTGTCAGGTTTTTTTTTTTTTTTTTTTTTTTTTTTTAATGACAAAAAATTGTTACAAGGACAGTTTCATTGAATCTGAATGAAAGCTTCATCTTAAAGTGCATTTTATGTCTAAACTGATACTTTTGAATACATGAAATATTTGAAGAAATGGGCATTATTTATAATATACTATTTCTGGGTCTTTACATATTTACTAAGATAAGCATTCATGTACATATTTTTTTTCAGAGGCAAAATAAGTATCAAGAAAACAAGCTGAAGGCACTAAAGTCCAGAAATGAATACCTTCTCACCATAGACGCTGCTAATGCAGCTTTACACAAATATTCTGTGGATGACCTGTCAGATTTATTAGATGTAAGTTCATTGGAGCATGATGACCTGAAATTGGTCAGATTTTGGTTGTGATCCAGTAAATAATTGATCAAAATGACAACTGAGCTGCGTTGTTGGAAATACTCACTTGCTGAGTTGACATTTCTTATTACTGCATTGTCTGGGTATTCATTTTTGTTTATATAACCAGTCATTAATCATATTATTATTATTATTATTATTATTATTATTATTATTATTATTATTCCCTCAGGGCATGGATTACGGCTATCACGCTGCAATGGCGAGGCTCATGATGACAACTCTGTCGGTTGAAGAAAATGTGAAAAACTCGCACAAGTTTGCCATAGATCTGCTCAATAAGGGTATCACCGATGTGGGAGATGCCAGACTGGACAAGAAAAAATTTCTGGAGAGCAATAGCACGATATTTGCTCTACCGAAGAAATTTGAGTTTCAGGCACATAAAGGGGATGAGGTGAGAAACGATTCCTTGCAAAACCAATTTTATTAGTCTAAAGGACTGTTTCTAGTTAGGGTGACTGACCAAAATAATCAGTTTAAGGTTCACACATGGAGTAATTGAAAAATATTAACAAATCTGTTGTTTGTGTCAGAGCTGGATTTCTTTAACTGGACAGGACATAATAACAAAGTGAATGGAATACAAAGACGTAATAAGATTCTGTACATCCTACAGGTGATTCAAGTCAGTGCTCAGAAGTCTGTGCAAGATGAGTTAGTCCAGAGATACGACCAGCTCTCCAAGAGATTAGAGGAGCTGAAACTAGAGAATGATGAGGTGAGGCATGGAATTGCGTTTGGTGAGACAGTGGATTGTGTTAGGTGAGAGAGGAAATTATGTTAAGTGAGAGTGCATTGTGTTAGGTGAGACAGTGTGCTAGGTTACACCATATTTGATAAGTTTATGGTTCTGCCAGTGAAATTGTATAGGAGAGCTATTGGATTGTGACAAGTGTGTCAACAATTGTGATTGGTGAGACCATGAATTATTTTGGATACAGTGGTAAAATTGGTTTTCTGATGCAGTTGATTGTGCTGGATGTAATAGTGAATTTAGAATCCTATTTAAAGCTGTCATTACGTGTGATATTTCCAGGTGTGGAAGTCGCTAGAAGCTGCTGATAAAACTCTCATGGAAATGATCACAAGTCAGGAGTACGATGTCACGCCATATTTCCAAGATCCACAGAAAGTGCCTCCCAAGTCTCCCAGTGAAGTGGCCAAACTGAAGTCCAACAGAAGTGACATTGAGGTTTATTATTTAGAGGTAAGGCACTGCGGATTTGCTGTGACAGTGTGTTAAGTGTGAGAAAGTATGATAGGTGTGACAGTGTGTTAGGTTTTAATGCAGCAATATGACAGATTTGAAGTATTTGATATGACTTTGTGTCAGATGTGACACTGTGTATAGTACTCTATATTGGCTGAATTACATAAGCAGAAATTATGTTTTAGACTGATAAATGGAAAAAAAAATCATCCCAATTAAAATTTTCATGATATATTAAAAAGGATTTTGATATCCTTAACACAAGTAGATCATCCTGAGCAGAATATTTTTATAACCTCAACTGGTGAGATTACAGTCAAGTTTTAAGTCAAGTTTAAAGAATTTTTTCTTATTTCTCCAGAAATTTAAAGAATATGTGCTAGGCAGCAATAAAGTGGCTCGTCTTCAGGCTCAACATACTTCAATACAGAAGGCACTGGGCGAGGGCGTCAAAATAGGACAGACAACAAGGTAGATATGGAATTTTTATTTTTTATTTTATTTTTAGTTTCAATGTATGTTTATTATGTATATGTTGTTTATGTAATAGGGTTACAAAATTTCAGTACAGTATTACATAAAGCATTGACATTGGCAGTCACGTGAGAGGGTAGTATAAAATCACTGCTCAACACTATTCTTTGTCAGTGTTCGCAATTCCACGTGAGTGTGCATGTATAAGTATACAGGACTTAGGAAGGAGTAAAGAAGCTGATCCTTATGAAATATGGTCGATTTTGTTATGTGTTACTCGGCTACATTTACATGGTGTGTAAAATAAAGAACCCATCAAAAGAACAGGAAAGATGTGGTAAAGGGGAAAATAAACTCAAAATAAATTGAGGTGTACCTGTTAGTTTTCCTTGCATATCCTACAGTTAAACACATGGTATTTCCTTCAGACCTCCATCGCTCCCGCCAAAGCCAAGGAAACGTCGCATAGGGAAAGCTCCAACTGTAGGACAGCCTAAGTTATTTGGGGGCAGCATTGAGGAATATGCAGAGGTAAAAAATAACATTCCTGGGACTCATATACCTTTGCTCAAGCTAGTAGTTAAATTTAACGCCGAGCACTTGAAGTAAATTTTCCTAAAAATGAAAAGTTTTCTGTGCACCTGTGGTGACACATGCAGATGGATGCACATGACCAATGTGGTATATGAATGTTTTGCTATGGCTTTTCCAGCAAGGGCCTCTCTCTTTCTCTCTTATATGACCAAGCTATGGAGGCCTGTCTCAGTGTCTCTGTTGCTGTTTCTTTCAGGTGACGGGCGTTGACGTCCCTCTCATCATCAGGAGTTGTGTTCGAATCATCAATTTATATGGTGGGTAGCACTTCATATTTCACTTTCTATCAAGAACAAAAATCTCAATCAATTTCTTTACACATGGTTTATACCAAAAAAAAATAAAATAAAATAAATTTTAAAAAAGTGTAAAGGGCCATTTCAAGGGATTGTCCTGCCAATATTAATTTTCCTGGGGTAAAGAGCAATTTTCTCTTACTTGTGAATTATTGCATGACCAGTCCTTGCCATTTTTTTTTCTTTTTCTTTAAAATTTATGAGTAATTATGGTAATGGGAAAAGATTCTGTATGTTTTATTTCAGGTATGCATAATCAGGGGGTGTTCCGTGTGTCCGGATCACAGTTAGAAATCAATGAGTTCAAGGCAGCCTTTGAAAAAGGTAAGTAACCAGACTTAGGCTAATAATTGTGTGTAACTTCTTCACTGAGGACTTTTATATCAGGGTTATTATCTCGCAAGAGTTTTAAAAATTGACAGGACTTTGTAGAATTTTTGGGCAAAGTAACAAAAATGTCTAATTTTCACAAAAAATTTTTGCTAAATTAAGAGAACAAACAGCAATGTACCTATGAAGCTTTGTAGGAATTGCAAAGTAATTAAAGTTTTGTTGAGCTTTTCTGTGGAGTTCAGCACCAACATGGTATTTGTCCTATTCATTATTTTGGCCAATCATAACAGCTGTTCCATTGTCTCCTAGGAGAAGACCCGCTGATAGAAATGACAGACAATATCAGTATCAACTCCGTGGCAGGTGTTCTGAAACTTTACTTCCGGGAATTACGAGAACCCATCTTCCCCACACAAATGTTTGATGCTCTTATAGACTGTACAAGTATGTATACTCTCTCTCTCTCTCTCTCTCTCTCTCTCTCTCTCTCTCTCTCTCACACACACACAAACAATACAGTTTTGTTTGGCATTTGTAAAATATTTCATAGTGCCTAACATTCCATTTTGTTAAGACAAAAACCTTAATACAGTGACTACATAATATTTTTCAGGGATAGACAACGTCAAAGATTCCATAACGCGACTCCGAGAACTGATCACACAACTTCCACGTCCAGTTTTTGTGGTGCTAAGATATCTCTTTTCCTTCCTAAATCAGTAAGTATTTTCCAGAAGAACTGCCATTTTTGATTAAACCCACACATTCGCATTGTCGTTGAAGAGCAAACTTTCCCCCAGTTCTAACATGTCATCAGTATTTAATCAAAAACTTTCCCTTCCAGTTTATCAGAGTTCAGTGATGAGAACATGATGGATCCTTATAACCTGGCCATATGTTTTGGCCCCACCCTCCTCCCTGTCCCTGGGGACAAGGACCCTGTTACCTACCAGAGCTACGTCAACGACCTCATTAAACTCATCCTCAGCCACCAGGAGGAGATCTTCCCCAACGATGACGGTGGAACTGTCTATGAGAGGATGATGATGGAGGAAGGGTGAGTTGATGTTACCTTGACCTGACATTGACCTATGACATATTTGNGCAGGACAATTTTCATTTATTTGTTCATTTTATTTATTTATTTATTTATTTTATTTTATTTATTTATTTTTTTTTATTCATGAATTGCTATATACAGTGTTTTTCATTGGAAATAATCCACAGAACAGATGAGAAATTTCAAATACTTCTAAATGCTTTCTACCTATTTATTGTACTCATGCCAAAATAAACCTGCCAGATAGCAGAAAATTGTTTCTCTTGCATATCTTTAACAGTTAAATTTATATAATACTTAGCATTAGTAGTATAATAATATGCTTATTCATACTTACTTCATACTAGCCCAACTAAATTGAAACTGCCTCTACCATGAAACCAGTATGAAATTAATAGATAAAAATCAATATGAGAGAAAAAAACTTGCCTCTCTTGCTTATAGTGCAATTATTTTACAGCATTCCAATAAACAAAGATAATTTTGTCACTGCTTCAGCATATTCACATTGCTATCAGCTTTTAGTTGTGGCAAAACATTTTCCTTAAACTGTTCCAAACACGTTGTTGCACTGGGTGTATGTGTTTATTTTTTAAGTCACTGTTCTCTTGGCTTTCAGTTCTCATAGGTGCTCACAGTATTTAGGGTGAGATCCACTTTCACAAGTATGCTCTAGATGTTGGAAATGCACTTGATGACGTGTTTTTATCTTAACCCATTGTTAGAACACCTTACAATAGTTTCACTGAAGTTATATGCTATAATATATTGAGAAAAGTTTTTAGAAACATTCCTGGACATTTGTTGCTGAGGAGACAATGCTGCACCTTCATCAGTTTTCAGAATTACTTATTTTATGGAGTTGGTGCTCCATCAGTCACTTGATGAAATCTTTATGATGAGATTGCAGTGTTGTTCACCTTTTAACACTCAAAAGTCCAGAAAATTTAAAAAACTTTTCTAAATATATTACTTCAATTGGGTGATTTTCACTTATTGCACCTTAAAAGTTTTCAGACTTGACTTGATTGGACAATATAGCTTAGTATAACTACATTAAATGCTTGTCTCTGGAGTCTCTCAAATATGCTTGGTTATAAACAAATACTGAGAAGGGACTTAAAAGATACAGGAAATTCTGCATAACACAAATTGAAGTTTTATCTCCAACATATCTTTTAAAACCTGGACCAAATACCTGGAACAAATATTTTGGTCTTATTTCTGTTGAGTGGACTGCATTTTATAAATTATCCTTGACAGTTTAAATTTGTATGTGCCTGAAATTGTCCAGTTATTTTGGCTATAATAACATAATCTGAGAGTGAGTCCAAGCATTGATGATGATGATGACAGGTTTGATAACATTTGTTAATTGAACTGAATCTCAGCTTGTAGATCTAGCCCTAGCATCTGTGCTGATTTCACTTGGTAGTTTTATACCCCAACTTTCCTCAAACAGATACGATAGGGCCCGAGTCCAAGTGTGGCAGTGAATCAACAAGTTCAGGATATGATTTTCCAGTACCCCACCTTCCACTGATAGTTAGTGATTTATAAAAAGAAGTTAAGAAATTATTATAATTTAAAAAAAAAAAAAAAAAAAAAAAAAACAGATCATCCGAAAATGACAAGGAACAAGTTAGTATAGAGATGTTTCAGTCCTATACAGACATGACAAGGACCCTGTGATTGTCCAATCAGTGGCAGATGACAGATCCTAGATTTGGTATATTTGATGGGCAGATAATATTGTGTTATATGATATATGGTACTAGGCAGTTGATGCACCCTGGAAAACCAGGCTGTTGTGCTGTGTTTTCAAAGCATGTACCTTGAATATCATATAGATGATTTGAGTGAGTGTCCAATCAGTGGCAGATGACAGATCCTAGATTTGGTACATTTGATGGGCAGATTATATTGTGATTTGATACCTAGTTTCATGACGGTTGATGCACCCTGGGGAACCAAGCTGTTGTGCTGCATTTTCAAAGCATGTACCTTGAATATCATACAGATGATATGATGTCCTGAGAGTGCTGTTCATACCATATCAGCATGAAGGCATGTGCCCTGAGAATCAGGGGTTGGATTTGATATTTTGAAAGTGCTCTCACATTATAGAGCAGAATCCAAGGAGGTTGGAGAAGGAGAAATATTATCATGATTTTGTAATTTTAGATTTTTTTATTACATAAAACAGTTCACAAAAAAAAAACTAACTTCATGCTCTTTAAGTATTAAATAAAATGTTATTTCTTTCTAGTGATCGTGAGTTGGCAGAATTATCGGACGAAGAGGATGAAGTGGATGATGATGTTGTCAGTGAAGACGGTAAGTTTATTTTTCAGGTGCTCCTCCTCAGAGCATCTTCATGTCATTTCTGTCACAATTGGCCTTGTCTCATCTGTCACAATTGTGCAATTGTTTTCAGTCTCTGTCTTAAACATTTTCCATGGTTTTGTGTATCTCAGTGTCTTTAGAATTGCTTCAGTATAGGCTCACTTTTTAAATGAAAACTTAATGACAGACTAAATGCTTGGCAAAAGGTAATTGTTTCCTAGCTTAAATTTGAAGACAAAAGTGGTCCTTATGTTATGCCTGTGAAAAGGCAGATGCACCCCACCAACCCCTAACTCATCCCATTTGTCAAAACAAAGAGTGCAATCCAGCATTGCCCCCACCCCCCACAAAAAATTAATAAATAAGAAATAAAGAGAGCAATAAAAGTTGTATTACAAAATACCCACCAAAAAAGCAGAGATTACAAAAGGATCTTCCTCCCTTTGAATTCCTGTACTTGCAAATTATGCTATGCACTCCTGAAAATTTGGATATTTTTATTCTGTATGAAATGCTTTCATTTTTGTGTTTCTTTTGTTCAACATATTAATGTATTTGTATGTTGTGATGCTGTTTTGAACTGTGAGAAAAATGGCTGAAATGCAACACTATTGCAAGTCACTGTTTTAAGAATTGGTTTTTGCTTTTGCTTTTAACATTTTCTAAAAACAAGTAAATTCAGGCAAAAGAAAGTTCCCCAAAGTAGTTTTTCACCAAACCGAAATTGAAAATAAGCACCATGATAATACTGTTATTATATCATTATTTCTGCTGTATTAGATATATTGTTTATTTATAAGATAACTATAATTTGCAACAGAAGACCACACTTAATTTTCCTCACAATGAATTTATACAAAATATTGTAGTAATTTACAGTAACAATTCATGTCACTGGATGTTTTACAAAGAGAAAAATTCCTTTGACTTTAGGTGCACAATCCGATACCCTAACCCTGTAGCTATATATCTTTGGTGAGGACAGCATGTGCTAGTTTACACAATTTGCTTGTCTATAGCCAGTCAGTACCATGGGATTGTAATAGAATATGTTACAGCAGGAAAACTCTTTGATGGAAGCTCTCATTTCATTGGTCTATTACAATGAGAAACCTGATATCATTGGTGTGTTACTGTCTTATGCACTGTAGATGGCAGCATAGTACCAAGAAGAGCTCTCTGCAGTAAGAGTTTCCCAAAGTAACATTTGATATAATTATTGCATATATATTTTTGGTTATATGTAGTATCTTATTTTTTATGATGAAAATGCATTTGTATAAAGTGTGTATGGTACGGTATACGTATGACCCTGTATTTGATTGCTGCATATACATTATTCTTTTATGAATTGTTTTGAATATTGCCCATAGTCCACGGAGAAACTCACATAGTTAATTGAAATCATTTAGCATGGTGTTATTTACCACAATTATTCCACACATATATTAACAACATATTTCCTTTTGAAAGCTATGATCGGCAGTTAAATTGACTCTAAGCATAAGCAATGCTATTATCAGTTTGGGATTTGGGGACCAACAAATGTTAGTTCCTAATTGTGTCTGACTTAATCATAAAGAAAGCACATCTTAAAATTGGATTACCTCATACCACTGCATACATATATCTTACATTACAAAGCACATGTATCCTATTTCATATATCAATATCTATTTGAAAGGTTATTTCATGTTGTCTTGTATCTCACTGTATTTTCTCCTTTTCTCTTCTGTCCTGCAGATCACTTGTTAGGTAAGGGTGCTTGCATTTTCTAGCAGTTAATAGCTTGCTTGCAGCTTGTATATATTATATCCATATATATCTTCAGTAGTAGATGACAAATGTCATCAAAGTAGACAAAATCACTCTGATGTTCAATGCACTGACAGTGGTGCAGTTAGTGGAATAATGATTACTTGTCACTGTTCAGACCTTGATATTCAGAGTGACTGATTAGACTAGATTTAGATATACGGTAATGACTCCATCTTTTCAATGGACAATTAAAAATATTACCAAGAAATCATCAAACTTTCAGATACATGATTATATTATCACAAAAATCATATATTTCTGTATAAAAGCGTTTGTGTTGCTTTTACCGCATAGTATACAACTATAGAGTAGCCTGCTTTTAAATTTTTGCTACCACTCAATAAGATTGTTCTAGTTTTAAGAATTAATGACTTTAAAAAATTAATGAAAATGTATAGTATCTGTAAAATTCACAATTTCCCCACATTGAAAAGATAGAGTAATTACCAGACTTTGCGAATCATCTTGCGAAGCATTTTTTTATAAGTGACAAAAAGCAGTGATAAAAAATTTAGTACTTTTACATAAAATCAGATCATGTTGACATTTTGATCAAGTTTCCTGATGTTCTGAAATCAGTAAAGATTTTGCATGCTTTTTAAATGATTTTTCTTTTCTTTAACATGGCATATGCACTTGATATTTATAAATATCCAGACCAATCCATCATATTAAGCAAAAGAAAGATCATTAAATTCTTTCAGTTGCCTTTGTCCAGTTTATCATAAGTACTGGTCAAAACTTTGTCCAGACATCCGTAAAGATCAGTAATATTGGTCATCTTCATCTTAAATCTGAGATTAGTCTGTGATAGTCCAAAATGAAGTATTTATTGATCAAAAATAAGTTATTTCCGTCACTAGCTTTCTGCAATATCATTTGATTTAATATGAATTGAAGTTTCATAAAATGAAACCAGTGTCATTCAGTCCCACTGGCAATTTTTCATTCTGCATGTAAGACATGTTACAATAAAGTACAGTGATTAGAACAGTATTGTACCACATAATATTTATAGGATGATAGATTATAAAGTAAGACATTCTTCACTATACTGAAGATTTAATTTGCATGTGAAACATATATTACATTATGATGCAATTATGTGACGTAGTTGGCCACGTGACCTAGTTGCTCATTGGCCACATATGACCTAGTTGCCCTAGATGTGACCTAGTATGCCACATAAGTGACCTAGCTCCAGGTCACATAAAGACACCAACTGCTTCACTGCACCCTGTCTCTTTTTATTCTGCATGCCTCTCATAGTCCAAGCCTTTCTGAACAAACTCTGGACCATCACAGGTACTTGTTACACCAGACAGTAAGGGTTTTCAATGTGCTCAGCGTACCAGTAGCTTGAGTTTCAGAACTGTTCTGGACCAGCTTCTTCATCTACTAGTCTCCAGACATTATCAGATATGCGCGCTTATTGCGACTGAACTTCAGCAACTTTTTATTTACGTCTTTGCCAGTCACAGGTCTTTTGACTATGTCACAGGAGTGGATCTTCAGATTCAAACAGTGGTGTGATGTCACATAAGAGTTCAAATACTAATACTGGACTTATGAAGTAATAAAGCGTTGAGCAAATGTTGCCACGAGAACCACCATGGGGTCAAGGACACTCATTAACCCGGGTGAAAACTGGTGGTACCAGGCACAATGCTTTATTACTTCTTATGTCAAGCATTAGTCCATCATATTTTTCTCCTTTGTTGAATATCACATGACCGTTTGTAAAAATCACTCAAATCTGGATTACCAAATTTGCATTTGTGACTGGAGCTGTAAACTTAAAAGGCTTAAGAACATGAAGAAACCGGTTCATACAAAATCTGAAGCTCAGGGTATGCCTTAGGGATATTTTTGAGGTCTTTCATCGACCATCTGCTGGATATAGGTCAGTCATTGATCTGCGTGTAGATATAGGTCACACATCAACTTATGTGTATACACAGACCGTATATTGACCTATAGATATGAAATGGCCTGCTGTTGTATTGTAATTGGTGACTGCAACTCAGCATTTCTGCAGATCCTGAAATATGGTCACATGGATTTAGTGCATGGAATTCAAACTGTGCTTTCATACCATCTGTGTTCCAGTTCTAAAAGCCGATTTCGTTATTTTATATTGAAACTGAGTTGGGGGTCCATGCACTAGTATGCCTTGCTATTGGGGGCAATTAACCAGATTTCACTTTTAAAATCCAAAAACTTGGGAAATATGGTTACATATTTCAAAACTTGTTACAAGAAAGTTTGCTTGAGAGCTCACGGTTTTGGACAATGCTTTTGGCATTTTAATGCTTGGAAAATCTCCTTTCCTAGTTCTGCTGATGGTCTTCTTGCAGGAATGCTTGCAGTTGCAGCTTTAGCTGTTTTGATAAACATAGAATCCATTTGCCTTGTAGAAGAAGATGGAGAAATCGCTACCCTACCCAAATTTCAGAAAGTCATCTTTGAAAAGTGTTCTAATTAATAGTATCTTTGGAAACCAGAAGTGTTTTGTGAAATTTGCTCACAGATCAGTCAATGTGCATGTTATTATTGGCAGTTTAATCAATGTAAACCAGCAGACTTATGGTGCACCAACATTTTATAGTATCCCGATGGTTTAATGGGTCACCATTATTGTATTGTGGTACAGGAAGTTTCATGCTGTACCAAAAGATTCATGGTACACCATCATGGTATGGAGTGACATGAACATCCTGGTATGCCAACAGCTCGCTGGTACATCGGTACATTCATTTGTATCAGCTGGTTATTTTGTTAGCCACACATGGTGCCTTGTTCAACACAGTACTACACACACACACACAATGATGCATGCTTTCTCTGCCTGACATGCATGTTATTACACTGATACTGAGTTCTATTGTTCACAGAATGCTTTAGAGGTTTGTTACATGACTGAGCCTGCATAACCTGCAGTACACAGCATCTGTAGGCTGTTTGGCTTGTTTGGAATACAAAAACCTGGTGGAAAAGAAAAAAGAACTGTTCTTTGCTCTTGGCTCTGAGTATGATATACTTTTGGATATTTAAATATCAAACATACTTTCACTACTGAATAACATGCATTTTTTATGTTTATCAATAATTTAAAAAAAGGAAGAAAACCCATGTTCAGTTTTGTTTTAAATGTTATATTATATGCATGGCTCAGTCATATTTGAAGAAGTGGATTTTAATAGGCATCCTACTAGTATTGTAATAATTTTGCATTTGATTTGTTTTAATGCACTTTTGTTGTAGTTTCTTGTTATTGTTGTTAAGTAAGTGTAATATTGATAAATTTCTTTAGCATAGTGAAATAAATGTCTTAGAACTTGTATTATATGTTACTGTTGGTAGTGTTTGATTATATGTTTTGTTGGTTGACATTGTTATTTGTTTGTATATCCTGTTTCATTAAATGTTAATTGATCATTTTTGTTAAAAGTATTGTAAGTCATTTTTTAATTGTATTTGTCTAGCCTTGTAATAACATTTTAAGACACTTAAATGTATGAAGAGTTCTCAGTTTGTCTTAACTCTCATTCAGAATTTCTTTTATTAGAATTGATGTTAGATATATTCATGAAATTATTGGGACATTTTTCAACACATTTCATGAAAATATATAATTTTTATGTATTTCATTTAAATATCATAAATGTTGAAAATTTTCAATATTTGAAAGTTATTACATTTAACAAAAAAGTCAAAGAAATTTTGAACGCTGAGAAGCCTAATTATGCAGAATTCATAGTGCGATATAGAAAAAACATTTTCTGGAGGAGGAAAAATGCCATTTGAAAGTTACACCTTCCAACTCGGACAATTTCTATTTGAAAATTTCCCAAATTGAAAACATTAATGAAAACATTGAAAAACAAGCTCCATTAGTTTCTTCATGCCACTATAGAACATATAATTATGTAGTAGACAAAAATTTTCTCTTTCTTCTTTCCAGAACCAGAGGTCACAGAGGCAGTGGCATTGTATGACTTTGAGGGGCGCACAGGAAGGGAACTGTCATTTAAGAAAGGAGACCAGTTGTTGTTGTACAGCCAAGTGTCCAGTGACTGGTGGGACGGTTACTTCAATGGAAAAGAAGGGCTCATACCAGACAAATATATCAAAATTGCTCAAACTCCAAGGTAGGGATCTCGTATAGAATCTTGTGTGTGTGCCTGCATGTGTGTGTGTAAGTGTGCATTTGTGTGCATGTGTGTATTAGTGCGTATGTATGTGTGTGATGAGTAAATAGAAATGGCCCTACCCTCAGCTCAAGAAATACTGACTTGTATAGCTTTTCTAACATTACTAGTCAGACAAGAAACCAGTCGATATTATGTTCTCTTCTATTGTGCTTCCTTCTTATATTTTTATTTATTTTTAATTTTGGACTGAGAATGCTCTACATATCTTAAATGTAAACCCTCCTTAAATCTAACAGCTGTACTAATTTGAGTATGTTGGGATTCTTTTACTTGGTTTGTCTTGTTGATGTTTAGTTGTCTTGATGTAGGTAAACCAGAAATCTAATGTAAGTTCTCAACTTGTTAACTTCCACAAAGATCTCCCCACTGTCACATTTACCAGAGAGAATTATTGATATTTCTGCTTAATTATGCACTTTACCAATAAACAGCACTGTTTTAGCAAAATCTTTGATCTAAGGATTACTTAAGCTTTCTGGAGTTTTGTGTGATTGTGTCACTTAAAGATAGTTAACATTTCACATCCCATGAAAATATTACAAACCCAATAATGATGGTTTCATTGCTTTTTCACCTCCTTTAATGCTTGTGACACAACACAAAATACAAATTTAAGGTTATTTTTAATTTTTTTTATTCAGATACGTTTTTAACATTAACAGTTATACATTATTAGGTATTTAAACAAAAAAGTTATACTGAAACTAAATAAAGAAGAGTCTTTTGAGGTGTGTTACTTCCTAATCACACTATGCATGGGGACTTTTTCTTTATTCATTTATTAAGGTTAAGTACTAATACAATATGTTTTTTACTAACAGTTTTCCCTTTCTAAAATTTATTTTGATAAAGCCTGTGTTATCAAATCTTTTCTAATGACGTTTTTTCTTTTACCGTATAGGGACTTTGAATTAACAAGACAAGTGTCTCAAAATGATAAACGACGGTCAACCGAGTCTCTTCCTGCAAAGACGTACAGTGCAAGCGGCCCCAAAGTGGACGAACCTCTGACCGTTGGGCCACTGGACAAGTCCGTCTCACAGCCAAACATATCAGTGGACAGGACAGATAGGAGGCAGCACCATCATTCCCGCCAAGACAGCTCTGATCAGAGTTTAGGGTCGATCACGAGTAAGAGTACAGACAGCGTCTCTCTCAGTGAGCTGAGCCTGACTTCAGGAGACTCCAAGGATAACAGTACAGACGACCTTGAAAGAGACTTGGATCACGCACTGTCGGAGGTCATGACCCAGGTGGAGTCGTTGGGCAAACAAGAGGAAGGTTTAGAAGGTGGTCGAAGAGATAGTGGAGGCAGAGGGGATGTGATGCCCCTGGGTAAAAATTCTGAGAGGACTCGGTCTGAAAGTGGAACGTCTTCATCTTTTGGCCCCCAGGCCAACCGAAAGTTCACTATTCCTCCCAATCCTAAACACACTCCAGATTTGGTGTTGGACTTGCCCCCTGATGCAAAAGACACAGAGTCCCCCTCACCCCCACAAGACCAAAGTGACCCAGATAGTCCCACCAGTGGTGCGGAGACCTTCGCCAAGTCCAACCAGTGTACGCTGAAGAAAGGCATGAGTAACTCTATGCCGCGCAGTCTCACCCACACCAGTACCTTCAGGGCAGGCATGGACGTGGTGGGAGAACAAGGAGATGTTCGGGAAGGAGGTGTGGTCAAACGAAGCGTCAGCACCAGTGCCACGATAAGTGCACGCACAGGCAGATCCCTCCCGCCTGCCTATCGTGAAAGCCCTGAGCGCTCAGTGCCGTCGCCTACCCCTTCAATGGAGAAAGCCTCCAGTCCCGGCCCTGCTGTGGCCCCTAAACCCTCCATCAAGGCAAGACCTCCTGTCATGAAGAAACCACCCAAACCAGGCTACTTGAAACTGAGAGGGGAATCCCCATCATCTCCTGCTGATGGGAGTTCCAGTTCTCCAACAGGGGGGCCCACTGCATTGTAGCTGACATTTTCTCTCCTCTTATGGCCAAAAGAAGATGGGAGACAGTGTAACCAGTCATAATTCCCATGGCTGTGCCTTCTTCATAGTGTTCTAGTGCCACAATGTTTCCTGTTCAGAATGTTTTAAATCTGCCTTCTACCAGTTTTAGTATAATTAGTTTCATATACTTGGAAGGTTTTGATAACTGATGGTTGTGGCCTGGATTGTAAAGTGCTGACACCTATACTTGAAGGATTGAATTGTGCTGCCTTCTACAGTCAAATAAACTTACCAAGGCTCTTCTAATGGATGAATTCATACCTGTATCTTATGAAATGCAAAAGGAATTTGTGTCAACAGTTATGACACCAGATATATTCCATAGTTTGCCTGCTATGAAATTTACAAGAAGAGATGTTTGATTATTATTGGGAAATCAAAATATGTAAAGATGCTATGTGCAAAGAGACATTTGCTAGGAGTATTACAATTACTTAATGATGACAGTGAAATCTTTGTACCTGCCATAACATAAACACAGGAAGGATTGTCCCTCAAACATCTCCAGAGAGCAGTGGTGCCATCTATAGTATGCAGTTGCATAAGGTGCTGCCATCTTCAGTTCAATATAGGATTATATTAGTGCTATTTGCAGTGTAGTCTTCTGCCCAATTTTGATGCACCTTTATCAGAACTTCTTATGATACACTGTACATTTAATAACATAAATCCATACCAGGAGAGCTTGTCTTGATATGGAATGCATAGCGCCCTCTTCTGGTAGTTCATGCCTGCAATCTCTGGCAGATAAAATTATACTCAATATGCTATATCTGCCTTCTTTCAATTGCCAACTTTAAAAATACTATTTCTGTGAAATAATAACCAACATTGGCTTTGGCCTTTTAAGTTATAGGGATTTTGCTTATATAAATATACAAAATGAGGGGGAGTTTTACAGTGATTTTGACTAGTGGTATATTCAGTGTTTACACAGATTGTTAAGATAGGAGTATTTCAACAAATGTTTTCTTGGAATATTAGTGACCTTTTTGACCTTGTTTGGATGCATAATACATAATCTCTCTTCACCCGGGTCTTTGTTGACATGATCCATTGATAGTGTGTATATATCATACCATATACAATTTTATTGAGAAAACTTCAAAGATTGTTTTTACCACTTTGTAAGGTATTGTACATATCAGAAAATCAAAACTGTAAATTATAATACCATCCTTCAGTAATTGTATGAAGGCATTAATGTGTCGTTTATCCACGTGTATTGATGTAAAAAAATTCAGCCTTGCACTTGAAGATTGTCTATAAGCGAGGACAATATCAATTTGAATTTTCCTCAGTCAAGGTTAACAAGTAAACTCCTCTGCTAATGACATTTTCCATCACTTATTATTTCAGTGGCAGCCAACAGTGCTGTGTAACCTAAAATGTATAGCTTCTGTAAAAATCTGGATATAATAACAATGCCCTTCACATCTCCTGGGCATTTATACACTGAAAACGGTCTTTATAAAATAAATATGTTAAACATTATATGGACTGGTCCCTCCATGTTTTATTGTTGCTAAATATGGGGAAAATTAGTCAATTAATCTTGAACCAAAATCTGTATCTTTCAACAAAAAATAAATAAATGATAAATGAATAAATAAAATAAAAGTAAACTATCTTTTATTCTCTTTAGCTTAAATAATTACCTTTTGTATAAAACGAGTAAGACCATGGGTTTCGGAACACCCTCTTTGGGCAAGTCGCGTATATATGTGGTTTCTTACATTGCCAGTCGGGCGGAAAGAGCCGTAGAAAAGAGTGCATGTAGGGGTTATGGATGACTTTTCACAGCCTTTTGAAACTCAGAGGACATAATAATTATTAAACTTGGCTGAACAGTTGGTAAGGGCCCCTTTACACTGGACGGCGTCCTTTCTGCGTCCAGCAGTACGGACCCATTTGAGAGTTAAAAAATTATAATACTTTACGTTCCGACACCTGGCCGATCATTGAGCATTCATTCTGATACAAAAGCAATGCTCTTGTCTCCTTATTAAGACCACAGCGATGCCAAATGTCATGGTCGCAGAAAGGACGCCGTCCAGTGTAAAGGGGGTATAACGAACCTATGGAGAACTTGTGAAAGTGATGACGTAAAACCTGTAACCTTCCTAAGAGAGCTGCGCTCTATTATTGGCGCTCGCATTTTAAAAGATTAAAAAAATTGTAACATTTCTCCATTCCTCTAAATATGTTACTGGCACATTTGATGTCTTATTCCACATCGATATTCTTTGACATAGGAAAAGTATTCAATTTATCTTAACTTACAGTAACTGTGAGAAAAATCATGGTACCTAAAGCCTGGTATTTGAAGCCGGTCACTATGTCTTGATTGGCATCCATTTTCTATCTCAAGTAATCCACCTTTTCAAAAGGACATATATCCAAACTATGCCCCTAAATTGAACATTAATTTCCTCGAGGTCACAGTGACAGAACCGGTTCCTCGTGTTTACTTCGTGGTTATGGCAGTGGGACCATTTCCTGAAACGTTAACATGTGCGTTACGGTTTCCATTTCATTCTAAACTGGGAAATTATTCTCGCTTTAACGAAATGTGAACGTTTCAGTTCAGTCATAGACTCGAATGGTTTACATGTTTTATTTATTTATTTATTTATTTATTTTGATACCGCCAAACAAAGATCGCAAAACATCGTTGTTTATTATCTTGAAAGTTTATATTAAGTTTTTTTCAATTCTGTTCTGTTTTAACGATCACATGTTCGTTATGTTTTTGAAAAGAGATTAGAATAAAAGGCGCGGGTCTATTATGAATAAGCAAATGCTCTAGATCCACCAGGTCACTCTCCTGGCTTTTAAATAAGTATTTACTTGGTGTTTTTATTTCTATCTTTTTCTTTTTTTTAAATCTGAACTGCAACGTTGGCGGTCGGACTGTAATTTTTAAAACATTCTTTAACAGCATCGTTGTTCCTCAGTGCCAATATGCTATATTAGCTCTGTTATCAGGTATACATAACAGCTGTGTAAGCAAAATACAGATCTCAGTTATCAGTCTTTTATCAACACATGAAGTAGAAATCTGACTTCATTAATTTAGCGGCAAAAACCTATGATTTCAGTCCTACTTTACTTTTAGGCCTTCATTCATATATGAAGAAAAACATGGGACCAATGGGACCGTTGAACGAAATATTAACGAAGTCTGGCCTATGCGTTTATATACGGGATTTTTGGTTTGTAAACCGCAGGCAATTCTGTGCGTTAGTTTGTGTTAGATTTTGTTACTCGTATAATTCATGTCTGTCCTTGGCATGCATATGAACAAGCAACATCCGGGCATCGTAAACACCAACGACGTCACCGTGTGACTAATTTAAAACGACCGCTGTGCACCCGACGATATACCAAGAAAATGCGAAAAATAACGGTAAAAAAATCTTGGCTCGAAGTATTGAGCTAAATTACAGTATAAATAATATTTCTAATAACTTATATTCATTTCACTATTTGGTGGAATTGAAATTATTTGGCGTATAAGATACGCTTGCGAATGCACACACACACACACACACACACATATGCTTTGTTACCAGGCTGGGCATTGTGTAAAGTGTGAATGATATATTGAGGGCAACATATGTTGCACAATGTAATTTTTGTTAGTATTAATAACGTGCGATAACTCCCCTCACTAGCAAGGCACGATTTTTAAAATTGTCCATGATTTGCACAAAAGGCCAGATTTATCATTTTCTGTCACCCGAGTTTTAGAAAAAAGAGAATTCGCGAATGTATCTTAAACGTCATTTTTCGCTTTTTTTTTTTTTCTTCAAATGTACCGTTATAGAGAGAATGATCGAACGTATTGTAAAAAATTGCAAACTTTAGAGCTCGGTGCGGCTACGAATAAAAATGATAGAATATATCTGTAAGTATAATCAAGGAGTTATAACTCCTTGGTATAATATATAATAAGATCTATTTTTTGACCGTTTTCACAGACACAATAAAGAGATTAAAGGGGGGAGAGAAATGTTTTTAGATCACAGCATTCCATACTGAACATTCCCCTCATATATATAACTCCTTAATCATAGAGAGGCTAGCATTTATCCCGACATTGTATGACAAATCAATGGGCCGGCAGCAAAGGAGCGACTGACCTTGGACGTCCGACCTTGACCGACGCGATGGACTTCTTTGTCTAGGCCTTTGGGCTATTATCACTGAAGTGAAAGAAAATATATAGAGCTTCTTGCACTAAAATCAGTTGACTTATATTACATCCACATATCAGACATATATCTTTTTAACGAACAATTCCTTTTGAAATTATTTAAAGAGCAGCTAGCTTACTTGCATTTTAAATTAAAATCCTTTTTAAGGTACATTGTACTTAGTACATGTAGGCTCCTACAGTTAAATATGTCTTTACTTTGGGGTCGTTTCTTGGCTGTCGTCGAACATAAACAATATTTTCAGTGTGTATACACTAACACGGTTTGGTGAATGGTTTCGAGTCTTGAAATAAAAATCTCTGTAAATAAAAGAACGTCAGCGTACAGTATGTGCATTACAAACAAAGAATGCGGCCTGATGTCCCTACATGAACATACATAAGCCGCGACCCTGTCTGAATATATTTCGGCCTAATTTGAAGATGGAGGAATACAAAACGTGATGTAAATTGCCATCATGTATGCCTCTCAAAGCCAAATACAAATGTTATCACGGTGACGTCATCGTCTATTTTTAGATGTGTGCCCATGACGTCATTGAGATTCTGCCACGCCTAATCGTCTGAACTGTGACGCATTGAGGCCGCTGAGGGACCGTTGATAAAGTAAAACTATTTGCATGCCTGACATTTACCAGGCGTATACATATATGTATATAATGCTCATATCGAGCACACGTGTGGTATATATGAAACAACCGGTGTGCAATTGATGTAATAGCCTATAAGATCGCACGCTCCTAGATTCGCTGTAGATCTACTAGCTAGGTACAACCCAGCTGCATGTTGTCTTATCGTCGTAGAACGAAGTACACTCTTTTGTGCTTTCTCGTCGGTCTTGCTAAATTCTTGGAGTGGAACCATATATATAGGCCTAATTACGTTAATTAGCCTACTGTACCTATCGCATTGACATTATTTAAGGGCGTATACGTAGACTAGTTAAATAGTTTTGCATTTCTAGTCTTATCACATTTGCCTTTCTTTCTGGACAAAATGTACTAACAATGTTGCCTCTATAATATTTTACGCAAAATACATTTCCTCATTAGGCCTATTCTGGCAGATGCCTATTTAATTGGCATACAGTTGGACAAAAAAGAAAAAAAATAATCTATAGTGATAATATTTTAATTGCCAATAATTCAACATTATTTATTTCATATACGTAATAAATATGAAATTAAAATCAGCCTTGCCTTCCGCATTCGAATTTAGAAATGAAAGTTATTAGATCTGTTACGTGCAGGTACATGTAACAGAAACCTTTTCCATTGGACAACTATCACAAATGTAAAAAATATTTATATCCAGGATTAAACTGTTTATGATTTTATCCGATTTCATTGGGAATGTTATTAAACTAAAATCCCGAAATTCTCACCCAGTTTTCTCATTTTATTTAATTATTTCCACCACCCAAAACTTGCTTCCAGTTTTCACCACCGAAGTTCCCGGATGTAAGGTGTCCAACGATCAACCGCCATTTTGGGCTCTTTCAGACAGAGAGACACAAAAGCATTATTGATAACTCAAAGCTTATGTACTAATACTGGCCGGTCGATTGCTCTTTAGACAGAAGGTGGCGAGATGATCGGAACAAGTTGCCTTTATTTACATTTTTACCGGTAAGTTATGGAAATTAGGGCTGAAATTTTGATTTGAGTGTAAGTAAAGACCGATTTTGGACAATGGGCTCTGAAAGCTTGCGAGCCACCATATGATATTTAAAAAGTAGGTCATTGGAATTCTTTATCGATTCATGACTTGCTCTTGGAATGTAAACATTAATATTTAATTAAGATTTATCTATGAATACAGATTGCGTGATTCGTATGGGATTTAGTTTCAGATTTTGATCCAAAACGCGACGGTTTGTTTGTGATTTTATCAAGACCCGCAATTTCATAGTTTGGTCGCTTTGGGCTGTTTGACATACGACATTGACAGTTAGCACTCTCACACGTGTTGTTAGATGCAAACCTGTCAATATTATATTCTGCTAACATTTACACAGATAAAAGCAAGAATTTTGATAAGAAACATTTTGTTGAATTTTTGATATTTTATTGAACTTTAATTAGTTATGGCATTACGTATTTACCGAATTAAGACAATCATGTCGTTGATGCTGTCTTTAGAGACTGTCTTTGGTCTTTTATTCAGTGTTGCAGTATAGATAAATTGAAAAAGAAATAACAGGTGTCTTGATCACTGAATACAGAAATAAAAAAAAGTGCAGTGTATAATTTTACCCACAAATCTTGATAAATAAAAAAGTAATTTACCCCTGCTTTATTGTGGATTTTTCAAATTCGATCATCGCTTCCAGTACAATTGTTCCAATTTATAATCTGCGGTCTGTTTGTATGTCATATTATTTACTGCAAAACGGCAAGTCCTCTCGCATTCCTGTTTGAATCTTCTGCTTTGTCCAGGATATAATCAAGAGTGCATTTCTCACATATTTAACAAAGTACAGTCATTATCCCACACAAAATAAGGATAAAAATGCATTCTAATTGCATGGATTGCACCTTGTTGAACTTAACCGAGGGCAACTAAAACTTTTAAAACAAAATGTCATAATGACAGATAAATGGCCTTCTTCAATATCGTTTTAAAAATATCATATTCACCACCCCTGATATGTTGAAGTTGAGCGGAAATGAATGACAAAAGTTAAGAATCTCCACCAACCCATAGGTTTTGATGTTTGGCTTCTTCCAAAATTGTTACAGAGTTATGGCGAGTGTCAAATAAGGAAGATTAAATGTTGGATTTCCCCCAAGCTTAAGTATGAAATTTGGAGCCAAAATCCTTTTTTGTGTACCTTTAAAGGCCCTTTGAATTCTGGCAGTAACGCCCAAGCTGTATTACTGGGATACTAGTATAATAAAATCAAGAACCTTATCCCTTTTTTCATTAAACTATAAAGAAAGAGGAGAAATATTGCTCTTTTTCAGTTTAGAATATACATATGACTCCTGGGTACAATACCTGACATCTTTGGCCATTTTGTCTGCAGTCTAGAAAAAGATGCAAACAGCGAGAACCATGACAAAAGCTTGCAAAAACTCACCAATTGTTTTAAGTCAAATAGGTACTAGTAAGTTATTCTTGAAGTCCGAGCGTGCTAAAACTGGAACTTTTAAAGTGTGGTTCCAAGTAATTGCTTCAGTCATTAATTCGTGGAGCCAAATCATAAAAAATTTTTTTTTTCATTTTATTGAAAATTGCATGCTGCCTAAGTATTTTTTTCTACAGCTATGCAGCAGCTGCATAATGAAAATACTGTTTAATGTGGCTTTTTTTTTTTTGTATAATTTTTTTTTTCAATATTCTGAGTCTCATTCTTTAAATGAGAACACATTGGCTGATCTAGCAGCTTGACATTAGATGGGACTCAAATTACTTCATGGCCCATAATACAGCCCATTAGCAGCCACAAGGAGAAACAAATCCTGTTGCCTTGTGGATCCTTTGCCAGAGGCATATTAGCATGCAAATTGGGTTGAACCCTCAAGGTAGAGTGGGTCAGTGCTGCCAGGTGAAGGCCTTTTCTCATCTCTCAAATCGTGCGACACAGAAAAACGTACCAATAGATTTGAATATCAATTACATTTTTCTGTATTGAGAGAAGTCTGGCTTTAAAGTGATAGAGTTGACTTAATGCCCCCCCCCAACACACACACACACACACACACACACACACACACACACACACACACACACACACACACGCTACATGGCATCTTGACTAATTTTGATTGGTTTTGGGGGTTTGTGAAAGGTACTAACGCTTCCTGTAGCATAAAACCAGTCAATCTGAGGCAATACAGAAAACCACACTTGATGAGGGCAAAGGCCAACTTGGGCATCTTGGGCATCTTTCCGCCATTTTGGAAATGTGGTTTTGTGCCATTGAGGCACTACTTATACCAAGTAAGGCCCCATTCAGAATAGGGGACTAACTAGTCCGAGGGTCAAAAATGGCGACCCACTACAAAGCTTGCTGTTTAATCTGCTAAGACACACTGATTAGATATCTCGTGGGGAAATATTCAAGTGGGTTGGCCGTATTTGACTCTCACTGTTTAGTCCCCTATTCTGAATGGGGCCTAAGACAGATCAACCTACTAGCATACTGTACATTTACATGTGAAAAAAGTCTGTACAACCTTTGATCAGGATTTGTATGTAACTGTTTTACAATACTGCAGTAAATTATGGAATAATATGACAATGGTAATGTATGGTCTATTGAAATAATCCTCCTAAGCCCACACAGCCTATTAGTCACCCAGGTATTAATTTTCACCTCTTTAGCCATAGCTTGACCTCATTAGAGATTGAGTAATTGTGTTCACTGTTGGGCTCATTAAGGAAAAAGAGAGTTAATTCAGTGCCGGAGGGTCTGCATATCAGTTTAGTAGAATGGTAATATATATCTCTGTGGCAACCTCCAGGCTTAATATTGGTTCCGTAACTCGAAAGTATCGCGAATTGCCATGTCGATATCACCTTTCATTTCGAGGCTATTATGGGGCGAGTAAATGCCGAGTTCTTATTAAGTTTTGTATTTTTTAAAGTGGAGATTCTGAAAAAAAATAAAAAAAATATATATACCTATTATTTATATGTTTGCTAAATTATTGATGTGCTGTTCTTTTGTTGGACTTTTGAACAAATTATTTACTAGTACTCTGAAATCGGGAATGAAGCAGAAATGGCCAACCTCTCAGATCATAACCTGTCGGTAACTTGCTGTCACTGTATTGGTAAACATGTATTAAAGTGCCTTTCACATGGCCTCATATTATCATAAAGTTACTAGTAAGAGATAGGATCCTGGCAGTTATGAGTATTGACCACTGACCTACATCAAGGTCATTATGCTGTTAAAACTCTTTGAGTTAAGTTTGGCTGGATGTCTTTATTAATGTTTGGCCAGTATATGGCTGCATTAGGAACAGTGAACTTGGCCGAGGGTCAAATATGGCTGACCCACTTGAATACTTCTCCACAGGGAATCTTTTCAGTGTCTGTTATAGATTAGCAGATAAGACGGCAAGCTTTTTAGTGGGTCGCCATATTTGACCTTGGGCTAGTTAGTCCACTGTTCTGAATGCGGCCTATGAGAAAATAGACCCTTGGATTAACCCTGTGATCAATACAGTCTGATATATGAACAGTGGGAGTTTCATTTCTGGAAAAGAGCATAATTTCAGTCCTTACAGGAAAGCTGTTATGTCAGTATGGCAGCTGAAATATGAGAGAGTTTTTGTATGGGAAGTATGGATTCTCTGTGATGGGTATCTGTCAGAGCGGAGCAGATTGACTCTGCTGGAAAAGTTTAGCAGAGCATTTTGCTCAAGCCAAAGGCTGCCTGGAAGCTTTTCCAACATGGTTGTCATATGATGGGTGTAGTGTATTTTACTCAATAAAAAGCTCTATATCAAGATTAGACAGTTCTAGCTATTGATACATGGTCCTTCAAGAATGGAAAACAAATAGCATTAAATTGACTAATGCCACCTATAGATTCTTTAAAGACCTATGGCTACAGCTGTTAGGTCGTTTCATTTTAGTGTTGGTATTTACTCGATCTGCTGCATCCAACTTGGTGTCGTGGTTAATTTTCATTAATGCCTTGAGTCTTCATTTAAAGATGCATACAAAGTCAATTTTTTGTCACAAAAACCAACCAAATGCCAGCATATAGTTTCAAGTAGTATAACTAACAGAATTACCAAAAGGCATTGTTTAATTTTACCCAAAAATGATGTTTGCTGGCATGCTAAGCTGTATGTCAATGGGGCAGGAAAGTAGGTCACAAAAGTAGGTTAAATTTACAACCTATAATTTAAAGAAAGGAGCAGTCTAAAGGTCTTTTTTGGCTGATCGAGTGATCTATTCAGTTTATCCCTTCGCATGTCGAATTTATTTGAGTCATATAAGAATCTAGTAGAAGTGATTTACATGTGTTACTGGGAATACATGCTCCACCTATGCTGGGTTCGTATGTACCTTTAAGTCCTATTACTGTTATTGCTCCAGGCTGTAAGATGCCTGCAGCCTGTGACAACATGGCCACCAGGTCCAAGGGATGTGCTCCTGATCTGACACAGCTTCCACCAGTCACCAATCTCCAGCATATGAGTAAGGTGGGTAGGAAACCCACGGGGGTCGTCTTGACCTATATGACATGAAATTGGGTCCTCTTGACCTATTTATGACAAGTAATTGGGTCATCTTGAGCTATTTATGACAAATAATTGGTTCACTTTTATCTACGTGACAATTGTGTCATAGTGAAGAATTTAAGTCATTTTACTTGTGTGATAATTGGGTCATCTTGGCCTGTATTTGGCTAATGGAATAATCTTGGTGCCTCTAAATGTCTTTATCTATTAGCTATATATCATTTGTGTCTGCAGAGAGAAATGCAGGCATTCATCACTAAGATGCTCCAGTGTGTGACAGGCAAGAAGAACCCTGGCTATGGTCTGGAGTCCGCACGGCCAGAGTGGTGGCCAGAGCAGGTGCCCTGGGTGGACATCAATAAAGATGGCAAGATAGACAGGCTGCAGGTTAGTAGACTAAGATAGACAGGCTGCAAGTTAGTAGACTAAAATCTGTTTTCAAGGGAACAACCATCATAATCTTGACCTTACGGTTTTTCCATGCCATTTATTTTTCTATCCTAATTTCGTGAGGGTGAAAGAAGATCAATAATTTCCATGCTGAGAAGTACGGGTGCAGTGCGTCAGTACTTGTAAAGCTTCAGCATGGATCAAGGATTTTCTTTTGCCATTTCATTTCCTCTGTTGCCTGATGCTATTTTTAGTGGTGGTGGCCAGAGGAGAAAAATATCTTCACATGATTGGCTTGTGTTGAATAATTCTCTGGAGTTCGGCTTGTAGGGGATCGTGTGGTAACAGGTGTGGTTGTATTTTTGTTTTAAGAAAGACAGAAAAGTAACATCTTTTAAAAAATGAGAGGGTTTCACGGTTTACCTATGTTGTGTCACAGAGGTGGCAGTCGTAGGGCAAGTTTGGGCAAAAAAAGCCAAATAAAACAAACAAAAATAACCTCTGTATTTCCCCTATGTTAAATCCATCTCTCTGTGATAGAATCACTGCGTCATATGAATTGGCACAATCTCAACGTCATTATAATATGTCTTTCTCTTTCCAGCTGTCTCTCACTGATGCCCTGCGTAACGTCATTGTCCACTGTTATTTATATCATGGCCGCCAGGATCTCCTGTGTCTGGGCCCCAATGTACAGGTGGTCACCAAGCCAAACGGAGCCCTGAGTTTTCTTGGTGGAGAGAAAGGTCATACGCTGGGAGACAGCAGAAATACACAGGTGCTTGGGGTTGATTTTGAGGATCATTTTACTGATCAGTGAAGTTTTAAATTGAAATGGTCTGAAGGCTTCATTTGAGGAAATTGACTGAGAAAAGGGCTTATTTTGGAAAAATGCAAAGGATGTTTGTTAAATAATTATTAATTAATCAATTTATTATTGTCAGATTCAGCAGACACTGAGATGTGATAAAATCAAATAAAGTGTCATATCATGAAATTATTTTACCCTGTTCATTGTGATTCAGTTTGCTGATCCATCTCTAACCAGTGCCAGCGCCTACATTCCTGTCCCAGGTGACTCCCCCGCCAGAAATACAAGGAGTACATCTTTGTCAGAAGGTAAATCCTGAAATAAACAGGGATGAGATCATTATTGGCTATCAGCATATTTGTTGTTAATTAACAAATCAATAAACGATCAAAGCCTTCCTGGCAGAGCTACTAAAAATGGGATTTTAAGCTAGCATCATCAATATGCAGTTTTCTAACTTCATAGTCTTATTAAATTTTGATCAAAACACCTTATACAACAAATATATACCTGTTACAGAGCATGGTGGGCATTCTCTACTCTGTTTAAAACAAATGTTTGATCTTTTCAGATCACAGAGATAAAACCTTTGTGGAAGTGTTTATCTGTTTTCACTGTGAAAAGGAATACTGCTCAAAGACGGAGCTTTTAAATCATCAGAACATTTGTGAGCAGCGGCCCTCAAGTTTTCATCAGCAGCTTCAGACACCTCCTCACAAAATGTTGCGCAATCGACACATTCCGGAGCTGACGCCTCTGAAGATTGTTCAGAGACGAGAGTCTGGGAAACGGCCTCCAAAAGATAAATTTTTGTCAGGTACCAAATGTTTGTGGGAATGGAGTTAAAGGAAAATGCGTTGCATTGGAAATGTAGAAAGAAAAAGTCATTAAAATTACAGGAGAAATTAGGAATTGGTAGGTGCTGAAAACCCTAATAAGGTATTTAGAAGGGTGTCACTAGTTATCATAGACAGTGCCTGGAAACTATATCTTCTAGATATTGACATGAGAAATAAATATAAATAAAATTTATAAAATATTAAGAGCTAGTGAATTGGGTTGATTAATTATATATTTATTTGTAGGGTTAGGCCTGTTGCCCCAGTACAAAGCAGAGGAACTGAAGAAGAAAAAGAAGGACATTGTCATTGATGACAAAGCTCTGGAGGTGGAGGAACCCCAGACGCCTAGGTCCCCCACCACCCCCCGCACCCCAAAGTCACTGCTGTCACAGCTCACACGAGAACCTCCTGACACCCCTCACACTCCACACACCCCAAGTTGGCGCAGACTAAGTGTTTGCAAGGAGGAACGGCCGGCTGATTTGGAGAGCGTTTCGGATGCATCGTCAGATATTAGTGAGGCAGACGAGAGACAGAGTGGGTATATGGGTCGAGGGAATCTACTGACAATTGACGTGAGTTCTCCACTGGGTAAACGCGTGAAGCGTTTGGTGCAGCCCGGCAGCGAGGGCACCGGAAGTGTCATTCTCGATTACAATCGCTTCTGTCATACGCCCACTAAGAGTGCTGTCATGGGAAAACTCCGTGAAAGGAACGCCAATTTTCCAATCACTTTTAAAAAGACAAGAAGGACTAACCCTAAGTATTATCACATGTATACCTTCTCCACGAGACAACGAAGAGAACAGTACAAAAGACTTGTCACAGGACTTGATAAAAGGGGAAGGAAACTGGCCAGAAGTTTACCCAAATGTAAAGTGGTGCTACAGAGACTTAAAAAAGAGGACATTAAAAAGTGGGTGAAACCAGTGAAGGTCCCTGTCATCGACCTAAAACCGTTGTCGACAACAGAGATCGCCCTCTGGGTAAAAACCCCAGACAAGGACGCTGTCCCAAAAATGAATGGGACCTCACCAAGAGATGGGTGGCTTGCTGCGGCACGACTGCCTCCTGGGGAACTTGATGTCGCGTTCAGAGAACCAGGGGTCCATGTGTACCGAAGTCTGCTGTCTGAGTTAGAGGGAGGAAGCGGGTCCAGGGGCAGGATTGGGAACTCTATCAGCAGAGGTCATCTCATAGTTCATCCAACCTCTACCAATCAGGAAAAGAGTTCGGGATCTAAAGTAGGTCAATGTAGGTCAAGGTCACAGTCACCAAATAAATCGCCACAGAATAAGTTGCCAACTTTAGCCAGTTTGTTGGACAAATCACCAGCACCTGTGTCTTCAGGAGAATATTTCAGTCGGACCTGTCAAGTGCCAAACATTAGGATTACTTCACACGGATCTCCAGGTGGAAAATTCCCACAACACGTCAGTGCTAACAACAACAAAGATTTGGTTCAAAGAACAAGTAAAAGAACATGTCCGTCATCTCTCAAAGCTGTTGCTGTGGGAACGCAAACAAACCATTCGCCCAAACAAATCTCCATGTGGGAAGAGCCTTGTCCAAGATTGACCCGCAGGAGATCAGCTTCTTCAAGTTCGGATTCCTCAAGCAGTTCCATCATTGTGCTGGAAGACATTCCCGTTGTTGCTGCACCTCATGCTGGTGGTACCAACACTGAGGTCGACCAAACCCTCTCTGAGTCAGACTGGTCTTTGGAAATATGTAGTGTGGATTCAGAGTCTTCGTTCAGTCAGGAGCCACAGAGGAGAAATCAGAGGTCCAGTACCAGAGGTATATCTCGCAGCGAGAAGCTGAAGCAAAAATCAAGAGACCCTTCTCCTTGTAAAACTCACAGATCTGGATCTGCCGCGGTTTCCTCTTCAGTACATCAGAGCAGTAAAGGGACAATCACAGCTGAACAAGGGAGAAATGTACAGCAGCAGAGTAAAGCTACAGGCAATCAGCAATGGAGATCCCTAAGATCCAACAAAAGAACAATGGAGGGTGTAGGACGAGGCAGAAAAAGTAGCTCATCTTCTTCATGTTCTGAGATGTCAGTAGACTCCGAAATTTCTTTCAGGATCAGTCGAGAGGATATGAATTCTGTCATGGATGGCATTCCATTGTCTTCATCACATTGGGGTAGTGGAGGAAGAACCAGACAGAATCGCTCTCTCGATCCTGAGACGGTGGCCTTTCATGAACCTCTGACCATCAGTCTCTCGTCTTCCCCTGAGAGCACAGAGACGTTCAAATCAAAACAGTCCCCTGCCCATTATAATCAACATGCTAAGAAGACCAGTGAGAAAAATGATGATAAAGATTCTGGAATTACTATCAGTAGTAGCGCTAGTCACAGGCGGACCAGGTCGTGGACTCATTCACCAACCTCTTCTACTGGCTCGACTGCCAGCAAGAGAAAATTACATGAAAGTGTCAGACAAAATGGCAAATCTGCCCGACTGGAAGCTGACGGGAGCAGCCTCCGTCTGGATAAACCAAATTTCTGGGAGGCTATCGAGAATTGGAAATGTTCCCTGGAAGGCGATAGCAGTGATATGTGCAGTAAGTGGGTCAGCAGTGCAAGACAGGACCGCCGGGAAAGCAAGGGAAGCAACAGGAGGAAAGGTGAGGGTTGCAGTTGCGTGGGCAGGTGCCAGCATGTTATCTTACTATGCAAGTAATTGGAGAGTTGGTGTGTGTTAATAATGTATGATATTGTTTTATGTGCAAATAGTTTAGAATAAATCTTTACACAATAATATTCTACTCGGGGCTGTTACTTAAACATACAATTGCATTTTTACAGTCGTGTGCCTCATATCTGATGTACTTGCTTGCACTTCAGTCACTCCAACAAATAATTATCATATTTTTTTTATTGATAATTCTCAAATTTTTTATTGAACCAAAGTGAAATAATTATCACAATGTTTATGATAAAAGCATTTTTGTGCTTTAATTTAAAGATAATGAAGGCAGACTAAAGACGAGGTCATCGCTCTCAAGAGTGAACAAGGTCACAGGAATTCAGCAGAAGCAAGGTCGTCCGAGAACAGGAAGGGTTACATCCAGCACACTCAGTAAAAACCTTCAGTCCAAGTTAGGGAATAATCACTGGATGCGGTTCAGTAAACAAAACAATAATAACAACAACAACAACAGTAACAGTAGAGGACATACCAGGACTTCAGATGGTAAGGTCAAGGTCAACTTTGGAGGTCAAGGTCAGAGGATGGCTCCATTGGTTTCTGAGGAGGAGGATGGGGAAATCACCTCTGATAGTAGTACAGAAGAGGAACTTGTGCTCTATGAGGAAGTCATCTACTTGGATTAGATTTTCCATCAAAGGAATCTGTTGTTGATTTTAAATTTATGAGTACTGGTGTGCTATCATTTGCTCATTCTCAAATAGCACATTTAAGGCAAATTCTGAATGCTGAAACGAGTGTACTATTTTTTTGCCCAGTTTGTCTTGAAATTGGTTCATAATTTTTGATTTTGCCAAAATTTTCACCAGCATTTTAGCTGTTGCATTTGGAATACACTTAGCTTTATACACTAAGTAATTCATTAGGGAAATTGTAATTTTAAACAAGTTGTCATTTAATTTTCATTGTTGGTCTCAGTAATTCACAAAAATTTGCTGTTGTTCACTACTGGTGTGGTTTAAGATATATTTTATTTGCTGGTGACTACATCAAAAACGCCCTTATGAAAATAATTATACTCCCAAAATTATCATCTGGATCAGCAAGGCTATTACCTTTCTCTAATTTTGGAATCTGTATTTTAACCTTCAGTGAAATAATTATTATTTTTAGGAATTATGCGCTTTTATGTGTAAGAGACAAAATGAAGGCTGTGTCTTAAAGAAAGATTTTCCAAGTTCAGTGAATTATTGGTCCACTTTGGAGTGTAGCTCCTGCCTTATTCCACAGTTTTAATTAATTGTATAAAGAAAGGCAAGAGGAAAGCTTGGAATAGTTCATTTTTGGATTATTTTCATGTGGTGGGCAAAATGCAGTGCCTCGATTGCTTCAAAGTTTTGATAGACTGCTGTTCTAGAACATTTTTGAAAATTGTAGATATAGAAAATATCCAAGGTCATAGTTCACGCCCTACAGACAAACTAATCTCTGAAAATTTCATCACATAGTCATAAAAACCTTGCGTGTTGCCGTAATTTTATGTTCCTGTGCATAAAATCATTGACGAGTTGTCCTTCAGGCTCCCAGTTAGTGGTGTTGTACTCCATACAAGCTCATCGCTTTATGAAAACATATCCGTAACTGGAGGGGAAATTTTATTTATTTTTCTGTTCTGCACAGCATGTGGTACCAACATTTCCGGCCGAGTCTGCTGAGAGGTTGACCTCAATGCTTCGACTTTCTGCGAGATAAATTTTGTTTTTGCTTTTCTACCAATTTTATCAGCCATAAGATCAAATTGCTTTGTTCCTATGTGACAAAATAAGCAATGAAGATAATATTTAATAGCTGAAATTAATATTTTGAATTAATGAAAAAAATAATAATAACTGTATCTGCTCCTTCCATGGACAGAAAGGTTGGGTATTTAGACTTGGCTGTTTCATATTGGATCAGAATCTTTGGACTCCCTGCAGATCTTAGCATTTGTCTGCTAGTCCTGTGTATTTCTTTTAAGCAGTTGAGAACATTTCTTTTACAAGTTAAGTGATGTCCAGATGGTTTTGGTAATATTATCATGCCATAGTGGGCACATCTACTTAATGATATACACAAGTCATTATAGATGAATATCAACACATTGTATTGATCCCAATTGTGCATAGCTGTACATTTGTATATAACATTTTATTCCAACACTGTTATTATTATCATTTTAAACAATTTTTATTTATTTATTTTGTGTGTACAACATGTACACAGTATATTTGTAAACCCATTTATATTGGGTGGTTGTATAGGGCATCCTGCTGTCTGCTACATAGGAAAGGTCAGTATATTTTTAATCAAACCAAGAGGTAAGCAGTCTTGGTATTGTAATATGGCTATTCATTATTTATGATCTATCAACCTTGCAGTCCTGGATTTGAAGCCAAGTGAATTGAAGACTAAGTTTAAAAGTGTCTCATGAGGCGAAGAAAAAAAGCTATATTTTTTCTTCAATAAATGGCAAATAAGTGTTAATAGCTGTTGCTTGAGGAAAAATTACTGCATAATGGTAAAATTGTGTATTTGGTGTCTGAAGGTTTGCATATTTTATCTCATGTCAGTGCAGGCAACTGAAAAAAAGTTCTACCTCTCATTTATGGCCAACTGGTTAGAAAGTTTTTGTTTGTGATAAATAACTTAAAAGCTTTGACAAAAGACGCACAGGTCTGGGGGTGAAACCAAGTTTCATGAAGTTGACCAAGGTTTTTTTTTTTTTAATTTATCGGGTCTTTAACTCGTGTAAACGGTTGGAAAAGAAAAAAGGGGCATTTTCTGTTTGGTAAATAATTTAAATGTCATATATGTCTGTGTTAATATTGACATGGTTAAAAGTGTTGGTGGTGCTTAACAGAAACTTGAATTTGTTAATATTTTCCCCAGATATTTACTAGTTACTAGAAAATAATGAGTATTGGAAAAAAATAAAATATTGAAATGCTTCAGATTTCATAATGATCTCACCTGTTTCAGCATCTTTTTTCCAAAATTGATCAAGCCCTTACAGCGATTTTAAACATCTGAAATGTGCCTGATTTCATAATTATCTGGCCTGTTTCTGCATCTTTTTCCAAAATTCTTCAAACTTTACAGCAACAGAAAACATTGTCTGCCTTGTTTGCTGTGTATTTTCATGCACATTAAAAAGGGGACCTTGTCACTAAGTGCATTCTAGGAGTCCCTGATCTATATATGATTGTTTGAAAAGTCAACATTTTTCTCTGCTTTTGAACAAAATATTGTGACTCTTAAACGTCAGTGGCACAAATGTTTTGATTCTTTGCTGTGCAGCAGGTTTTGAAGCCAGGTTGCTGGTTCATTAACAGGTTGATGCGAGTTTGAAGATGTTCTTGTCGGCATTTAGGAATATATTCACTTGTGAAATGTTGTAATCCCATGGAGAGACGGGACTCGCTGAAGATCTTACAGACATCATCTTGTATATTAATAAAAAAACTGATGGTGAATATCAATAAATAAATATATATATGTCCATTCTGTATTGTTTGTATTTTGTTTTTATTAAGATAAATGTGGTTTTGTCAATGATGTAATGGTGAGAGAAATTTTAGAATTTTGTTTGAAAATGATTTTCCGAAGAACAGTAAAGGAAGTGAAAGAGTGACTTGCAACAAGTTTCAATTGAAAGTAAATGGCACAGTCAAGATATTGTTTTAAGACTATAGTGTGTCTCATGGAAGTTGAAATAATATTACCAAACATTCATATACAATTTTGGTAACTATAACACACTTGAAAGCTGTTACTTTCATTTGTTACTTTGAAAGAAAAAAAAAACACTTAGGAGCTTTAATGAGCGCCATTTCACTAACGAGCACGGCTCGCAGTGTCCGTGCAAATAATAAAAGGCTGTCTTGGATAATATCACTAGATTTACATCCGCATAGCATCGACCACTATTTGTTACACTTTGAAGGAACTAGAAGGAAAGAAAATGTCAGGTATTTGTTATTGAAATAACTTGCTTTAATTTCAGACTTTCCTCGGAAAATTACCTCGCGGATTTTCTTTTTATCAATACAGGTTCTGGCCAATCTTCTGTCAAAGTTGTTGTAATTGACTGTTAGACTGCCTATAGTAGGAAAAGTGTGGGCGGTAGATGTCGGCGAAGGAAACTGTTTACGAAAGTGCGCAATCAAAATGTTCATTTTCATTTTCACATTTTTACAAATTTCAGTCGATTACAGTTGGGGATATAAAGGTTTAGAAATTTATTTCTTAATTATGCTAATCCTAATGTTAAGTATTGCGTTGTGTTACTGTATTCAGTGTCAAGTTACGACCTCTTTTTTTTTGTCCACATATTTACTGTATCATGTTTATAGTATATATGTATGTATGTATATTTTACATCTTAAATGCTAGATAAATCATATCATATTGTACCAGTAAAGTTAATAAATTGTTATGAAAAAACAACAATTGAACTTAAATTGATCATCACAATTATTATGCAGCTGTAATTTAGATTATACAGGTTTTCACAGAATTGAAGTAGCAGTTATTATTATTATTATTATTATTATTATTATTATTATTATTATTATTATTATTATCAGGTTTACACAGGTTTTCACTGAAGTAGCATCAAGATGGGGCTGAAGAAAGCTTTCTTTCTCCCAGATGACACCCTGATACAGACCCATACTGCAGCTCTGGTAGGAAACACTTCACAAGGTGCGTACCTGACACATTTGTTTATTTATGTATTGATTTCAAAACTCCACAATGGACCAGTCTTTCATAATATGTAAATACTATCTACATTTATATGTTCTGATATTCTACTTCAATGCTTGCACTTAATGTGATAAATACCTTGTATTCTGCTATATCTTGCTCGGGGCCGTAGCAATAGTTCGAAGGTTCATTGGTTTGAATGTTCACTATAGAACCTTAGGACCAATGAACCCTTGATTAAAAAAAAACTGATGAAAACTGTCTTGTCAGTACCACTATACTCAGTGCAATCCACTTTTTTTTTTTCGAAAAAGTAGAAGTAAATTTCTTAAGTTTATCTTTAATTTCAGTAATTGTACTTTTTATATTCCTTTATCCCTCTGTAGTTCCCATGGCAACCTTGGTAACCATCACAACAGGTGGAATATCCAGTAATGGGTCGAGCATTGCTGACCTTCCATTTTGTGAATACATACTAACAATGTCTGTTGATACTTACGGTTGTCAGAAGAGGTACATGACTAGCATTCAGAACAGTTATGGCAGCAGAGATGAAAGCCGTCCAGATTTATTCAGAAATTAAGATATTTGTAAACTTAAGAAAATGATTTAAATTTTTTCAGTTGCCTTCCCCCTTCCCCTCCCCCTTAAAAAAAAAAAAAAAAAAAAAAAAAAGATGAGGTACTGGTACATACCTTTGGTGCTTACCCTTTCCTGATGTTTCAATGGTCCACTTTCATCTCTGTGGTAAACTGTGTAACTGACATGATGTCGTCTGGCCTTATTGTAATCAAACTGGTGTCTGCACAGTGAGGGTTCAAGCAATTTACTTTGGCAAAGGTAAAGAAAGAAACTAAAATGAGAAAAAGAGGAATCCATAGTATGCACAGATAACTTTTAACTCAAATTTGAATTAATTTTTTTTTTTTTTTTTACATTATGAATGTATCAATATGAATTAAGGAAACTTAAATTAAAATTACATTAAGGCTTGGAGGAATTTTTACAGAGGTCAGTTTTGTCACAGTTAAAGCTTGTGTTGATAGAACACAAGCTGCATTTAACCTCTCACTGGGCCCTGAATATTTCCTGTATTTGAAAGCACAATTTGCCCTTTTCAGACCATTTACAAGCTGCTCACTGCTTTGCATGTGAAAATAAAGATTATCTTTAGACTAATGGAATCAGTCTAAATTTAATAATTATTTTATCACTTTATTTTTGATAACCTGTTTCCTGTTTTGTCTTAAAGTGAGGAAAGTTTTTGATAGATTTTCAAATTGTTGTGAATTTTAGTGAAAATAGTATCTTAATCATGTTGATAAAGTTATGATATCAAGAAAAATGAAAATGAAATACATATTGCACAGTCAAGAAAATAAGCATTTTAGATCAAAAATGTCCAGCTGATATGCCAACATGAAGGTTTATTTCAATTGTTATGATGAAGAGTAATAGAATTAGAATAATAGTTACAAAGTCAATATGTAAACTGAAGAATAACAGTCTGGACTGCCTTTATCACTATTGTGTTTACATAATCAGCTTATCTAATCTGTAACTGTTACCCACAATGACATGTAATTAAAACTGCTATCTGGGCATTGATAGAGCATCAAAGCTAGATAACATGGAGATATGATATAGACTTCTTCTTCATTTATTATTATAGTATAATTGCTTGCTGAATGTCACTTCATGGATCAAAAAGGGTCAAGTTTACTAAGTGGCTGGATTTTGTGTACAATGATAAAAAAATGGAGGAATTTTGGAGGCAGGGGGGTTGGGTTTCTTCTCTATGTCTACAAGAAAGCCAATAGCAGATGCAGACTGAGGCCGTCTTCTGGGCCCAGAAGACGGCCTCAGTCTGCATCTGCTATTGGCTTTCTTTCTCTAGAAAATGGTGAGATTTTCAAATTTACACTGGGGAATATCTCATTTTTTACCGTCAGAAAATTGTCAAAACTGGAGGATGGTTCAACAAAGATTATTAGTCAGAAAGTATCTCTGGATCCACCCCTGTATAGATAATCCTTTTTCTTTTTCTGATATTTCACACACTGAGTTGGGTTAAGCTGCAGGTTCTTCAAGGTTCAGATCTTAAGCTTTTTCCTCATCTTTGATTTATGAAGTAATCAGAAGTGCAGCAGCAAATATCACAACACCAGCACTGAATTCACCGTCTTTCCAGGCAACCTTAGCACAGCACCGCCTCCCAACGCCTCCACACCACTACCAGCGCCCTCTATAATCACACTGCCACCATGCCAATGGATTCTGTACGAAGATATCAACGACTCACAGTAAGTAATACTGTCATAAAATTTTATTGAAATGTATATCTCTTTTGTTAATCACATTTAATTTATTGATGAATTGAAATTTAATTGATTGAGCACCCCTTATTGATATAAAGATTTGACGACATTGTTATGAGTTTATGGAGTACACAGTTAAAAAGGTGTAAACATATATGAATAGATTTACTTTCTTAATACTTGTAAACCTTGAAAAGTAGAATAACATTCAGAATTTTTTAGAGCTGAAAAATGTTCACCACCAGTTATTTTAAGTGATTTTAATTGTTTAAAGATAAAGTTTGATGCTTAATATTTTCTTTAATTTAGTCATTTTCTTAGTGCTTTGAAGTCTTTTTAAAAGTTATATTTCTGGTTTGTATTTTTTAAAATCTTGATTGTTATTCACCTAACACCTCTACAATATCCTCTGTGTAATTTTTTTTTCAAATCAGCGTCCGTATCTGGGACTTGATGATCCTCATTCCCAACGTGATATTTGCCATCTTCATGCTACTGAGGATACGAACAGCGCTACAGAAACTCGGCACCACAGGCAGCCCTATCTTCACAGCTTTTTACACTCTGGTCAGTACTACTCCCTGTTGGTTGTTTTCTTTAGATTACGCTGTGATATACCCTCGCTTAGTTGTTTTCTGCTCAGTATTTACACTTTGGTGATTGCTTGGACTTGCCATGAGAACAAAATTGATACTAAAGCTTGCACTGGGTTAATTTATTGGCAAGTTTTGAGAAAAATATAAAGTAGGTGGAGCAAAAAAATGCCTTGCATACCAGTTCAAAATGATGATTTGAGGAGAGTTTTAAAAGACAAGGGTTAAGAACTGCTGAAGGGGACAAAGACACAATTGCAGTACAACAGGATTGTCTCTGGATGAGACTCATGGAGAGAAGGAAGTACTTGAAGGAAGATTTTATTGAAGTTGTCCAGAGATCATAGTGTAAGGAGATACAGAAGTCTTGTTATTTTAACTTGTTGATTTCATTGGGCTTTTTTTTTTCAATAAATAAATTGAATATGAATTGAATTTAATATATATTTTATTGAAAATTGTCCATCTCTCCAGGTGTGGGTGATCTGTATAATTGGAGTGATCCGTGCAGTGATAGCCATGATAGTGAGTCACCATAATATTGCTGATAAGGTGAGGTTTCTTTATAGTCAGAACAGACTGACAGAAAAACTAATATGCAGACAAACTAACAGGCATCCAGGTAAACAGATAGATAAAGAAACAGAAAGACAAATACAGGAAGTGGGCAAGTTAGCAAATAGCAGACAAACAAAAAAGCAAACAAACAAATGAAACCAAAAGACAATCAAGCAGACATGCTTGAGATGGAGAATCTTTTCATATGTAAGAATAGAATTTTCCACAAGTTTGTTGCTTTTAACAAGTTATTGTTTTAAATTTCCAGTTGATAAAATTTTGGTCATTCTTTTCTAGATATTATGGTTGGTGCTGAGATTTTTCTTGTTAGCTACAGAAATGTCTGTTGTCATTTTTGGACTGTTGTTTGGTAAGTTTGCAGTGTACTGTTGTCAACTTGAATAGTCATACAAAATAATTGCTTACATCAATGTATATTGGGTTCTCAGTGTCATGGACATCTCCTAGTGTCATGTTCATTTCTCAGCATCATGTTTGTCTCCCAGTTTCATGTTTATCTCCCAGCGCTCCCAGTGTCATGTTTATCTCCCAGTCTCATGTTTACCTCCCAGTGTCATGTGTATCTCCCAGTGTCATGATAATCACCTGACCGCTGTTCTATTCCAGGTCACCTGGACAGCAGGACCAGTATCAGGAGAGTCCTGGCAATTACTTGTTTCCTTGCAGCAATCTATTCAATAACACAGGTAGGTGTGAGTTTTTTCCTGTTTGTTTAGTTTCAAATTGTTTAAAGAGTTTGATTTTGGGTTGAATTTGTGACAGATTTTTAGCCCCGCTACTTCATGCTTAAAAGATATTTGTCTTCATTTAAAATGATATATTTGCCAGTAATATCTTAAATTTTTTGGGTCATTTTCATGGACTTTTGTGACAGTAGAAAAAAATGTGTAATATTTCCAAAATTATTCACTTATTCTTTACAACCAGTAATATCTTCACTTATAATAGTTATGATTTTTTTTCAACTTTCTTTTCTTTGTTTTATTTATCATTGTGTTTCCCTTCCCAGGGTGTATTGGAGTTCCATTACCATGACAAGAAATATTACCTAGAGGGAGAAAATTATGATATTTTTGCTCATGGAGGAATGATCTTTTTGTGTGCCAGTGCGGCATTCTTCTTAGTGGTAAGTTTGCCAAGATCACCAAGGATTGTCTGTATTAACAAAGATGTGTTTATTGTAACAATTATTCTAATATATAAAAGCCTTTTGAGACTTTATTAAATTATTTATTTCGCATTTTACTAATTTCAGCACACTAGAAAGCAAACAAGATAGAATGGTACCTGCAGTAGTATTTTTACTGTTAGAAAATATTTGAAATGGAAAGACTTATTATATTTACTTATACAATTATACAGAAGCATGTTTTACTTGATGATAATACTTGTGTATTTCAACTATATATAAAGGTGTACATCACGGTACTTGTCTTGCCGTATACCCCACTCAAGGACAAGCTCAACTTGCCATGTAAGTAACAGATCATGTTCAAGCAACACAATGAGAATCATAGGATTATCTAAAATAAGTCCTTTGATACTGCATGACTTTAAATGTGACTAGAACATTTTTCAGAATGTCATGAGGCGGGGTTAATTTTTCAGCAATAAGGGTGAAACTCTCTGCCGGGAATGTCATATTGAAAGCAAATCAAAAGTGACGTGCAAAGCATTTAAGTTTGCTTCAATAACATCAAATTTTTAGCATACTGATATATTAAAATTTATATATTATATAAATCATGTGCGTGTTTTAAAACCAATACAAATATTAAACTTATGTCACATTTTTTTTACACATTACAGCTAAGAAGAGTTTCTATATCTACTGCGGCATACTAGCGTTGCTAAATCTGGGTGAAGTTATTGGCAGCGCGGCTTTAGAAATGGGTGCAATCGAAGGCATGTGTGTGGTGGACGTAGCCGCCTATCTTTACTTTTCCATGTTTGCACCGCTTGTGTTTTGTACATTTTTGTGGAAATTTTTTGGGTGAGAAATTAAGTCCATTTGAAATATAACATTGGTCATAGTTTTTCGACATCTGTATTTTGCTTCATAAAACGAGTTGTTTGATTATTTTAATTCTTGCTTACTTCCTTCATATACTCTGAAATGTTTCCTTGCATAGAACTAATAAATAGCATAATAGTGTTTTTAGAAAAGAAGTTTTGTAGATAAACATTCTTCTCAAGATATATTCTATTTATTTCACTCAATTTCTTCTTTCTATTTTACAAAGTACATCTGATGAAACACTTTCAAAATAACTTATTGTTCCAAAATTAAGAAATATTTTGTTTCCTTTTTCAGAACTCCGAGGTTGAATCTTTTGTTTTCATACAAATCTCACATGGACGAAGGAGGTGTTGAAGACGACCAGGTCAGCCTGCCCTATCAGACGCCTCGCATCGATGCCTCCATGACGTCCGGCTACGATAGCACGCCTTTCGACACAAACAGTGCAACAGGAAGTGGGGAGGAGGATTTTGACATTGGTCCGAGTAAGAACCCGTTGTATGACCATTCTGAGGACTTCACTGTGCTCGACTCTGGAGACTATAGCATCAATGCCGATATTCCGTCTGGATTTGAGGCAAGCAAGGCAGAATTGACATGAACTCTTTCCGAGTTCTGAGAGAGAGAGGAGAAACAACATCAAGTCACTCGGTCTAGTTTCATTATCAACCACTAACGGGCAGAATGAGTCTAAGGCCAAAAGAGGCCTTTTACTTGAAACGTCAGCTGATTGTTCCTTGTTTCTCTGCATCTTCTCAGTTGAAACAAAGAAATGGCAGGGATTATTATTTCTGTTACATTAAGAACAAATTGGCAAAATAAATATGAACTTCCCTCTTTACATAGAGAAATACAGTACATATTATTCTTTATATCCAAGAAAACTGAGAGAATTAACAGGAGATACAGCCAGAAGCAGAGACATATTCAGCTTAAAGCCTATTGTGGTTGATATTTTTGAAGTTCAATGCACTGTGGACAGATGAGTACTTCTTACACAAGAATATATGCGGTATATATATATTAGTCGTACAAACTGTGATGCTGTACAGTGTGTTTGATATTGTTAGTTTAAACTACAAGTCCACTAGAAGCAAGAATTTATAATTGTATCTTTGTTTCTACAACTGTGGAAAGCTGGATGCAGATCTGTGGTTAGTAATGGAAGAATAATTGTGACTCAGTTCTAGTAGCTCTGAGTTGTAAGATGATGAAATCTTAACAGACTGGCAGATTTTTATTTGTAAATGGACAGATGAAAATATTTTCACTACTAGTAATAACAGTGCAATTCACAAATAATTATAACAGTCATTTACTTAGTTTTTACTTAAAAGTTGCTTAAAGCTTGTCAGCCTATTTATTTATTTATTCTGAAAAAAGTCTAATCGGTATCCTAGTAAAAATTTTTAAAATTTGTGACCTCGTCAATTTCTAGATATATTAATTACACAGCTGAGGAGAATGTTTCCAATTTGTTGAGTTTAACTGTACATATCATTGTTGCTAAGATTTACTTAATATATGATCTTTTGTTAAACATTTCTTTTGAAAATGATGCCATAAGTAGACAAACATGAACCATGAAGATCATATTTTGAATAAGTGATAGGTTCTAAAATGTACAGTGCGTAGTATAAACAGATAAAAGGATTGTATAATTTTATTGAAATCTATTTGATAAAGTTACAAGAGAGAGTTTAAGATATTTTTCAAAAGCTCCACAATTCTGCCATGATAATGCCTTATATCATATTAATTGACTGACCAAACTAATGTGATTACTAACTTTTCCCCAGCGGTGTACAGTCTTGTCAAATCCAACAGCGTAAAATGTATCTCTATTAAATAATGTATATTTTAGAGGTACATGTCACTTTTTGATGCAATATGTTTTCATATTATTTCAAATGTCAAAAAATATTTAATATTTCCCCTTTCTTATTTATAATCATACATTTTAGGTTTTTTGTTCTTGAGATCTTTAGAGATAAAAGAAAAGAGATCATACATTGTATCAGACCCCATGTATCACTCAAGTGTTTTTTAAATACCTGGAAAACTTTTTGTTAAATTTGGTGGAAATGGAGTATTCACTGTCAGTAGTGGAATGTGGTCTTGGCACTCAATAAAATGTTTACAAAACATTAAAATAACTTATTTTTCTGTATAAATTTACAAATACTGAATTGTGATAAATTAAAACATCTAAGAAGTGCTTCTTGGGTCTGAATACTTGGCCAACATTTTTTACATTTTAAAAACTGCCACAGTTTTGGGGAGAATAGATATATGCTTTTAGAAATATATTTCAAATCATGTCTTGGTGTAAAATAAAGTTAATTGCTGTAAAAAAAATAAAAAAAAAAAAACGAGCTCAACGAGTAAACAATAGAAATCAACTTCTATGTAATCAGCTTGCTGCAAAGGGCCATAAGCTGTGAGCGCCCAAATTGTGCTAGTTGTGACTGTAATTGCTCAACGCATCTTGTCACAATAAGCACAATTTAGCTAAAAATTTCGTACGATATAAAATGTTGGCTTTGAATGTCTGCAAACAGTTACATCCCAAACCATACTAAGGTATAACTATTTTTCGCAAAAGGAGTAGCTTGGTGTTGTCTATTTTAGGGAAAAACATGATTTCTTAATCACTTCCCGGATTCAGTGACGTCATCGAACAAAATGTCTGCGCCCATGAAACCGCGATACTCAACCCGGGCACCGTCGAAGTAGCTTGTATGAAGTTTAATCAGCGTGTAATTTGATACTTGTTTACGATTTTTATACACTGTATTAAGTAAAAAAAATAACGCAAAACAAAATGACTCAAAAACCAGGGGACTCCAAATTAAAGTGGCTCGTCCCTCCAAGAAATGCTGATGGAAGGTTTCCACTGCGATGGCGGATGCCGAGCTGGATGACCTTATCCTTCTTTAACATGATCAGCAAAATGTGGTCCAGTAAGACTCGAACTTATTGTGATTTTATTAGATTTTGATAATTGCTTGTGTATGTGTGATACAGTTTATGTGCTCTTTAACCCACCCCCCCTCCCTCCAGCTCCCAACCCCCTCCCCTACCCAACCACAGATTAATTTATCCAAAAATCAGACCTCTTGGGTCTTGGACGAAAACACAGTACGTTGTTCAATAGGTAAGGGGTAGACCAAACTTTTTCTTTGCTTTGCTTTTAAAGTTTTATTACATTGCCATGAATAACAGATGACCTTCTCAGAATGGATGAAGTCTGGACCCCCCCCCCCATATTCGCCCCTCAACCCTCCAGAGAAGCCCTCTCACCAGCCCCTGGGGAGAGTGTGCTGATCAGTTTTTTCTTTGCTAATATTTTGCAAGAAGTCTACATTCTTTGCATGTCAGATGTAGTTATAATAACTTCCCTTACGAAAAAATCCTATAGCGGATCCTGTAGGAATTTTTCATAAGGATTTTATATTCTGCACCAGTTACCAAACTATTGTCTAACTGAGTAGTTACCAAACTATTGTCTAACTGAGTTTTTCAAAATTAAACTCAGACAAATTTCAAACAAAACTTTTTTATCCTTTCAGAGATTACCTATGTACAGACACATAACCTAGAAATTCTACAAAGTGCTCTTGAATCCCGTCAAGGACGTCCTTTAATCACAGTTAGCAACCATGCCTCGTGTATAGACGATCCACTTATTTGGGGTGAGTGTCTGTAAAGCATAAATAGATGTCATACCTTGGCCTAAAACATTCAAGGCAACCTGGAAATGATAAGAAAACCATTTGCAAGATAAGTGTTTTATTGCAAATATATTACAGATTGGTAAGGAAAAAGGTGGTAGAGAAAAATTGGTTGGTAAAGATCAGTTGACAGTTATGCTGGTTGTCAAAGTTCTTGAAGTAATTTTTAAGATCACTGAAAAAACTCATTTTCAAATATCTTGTGGGATTACCCCCCCCCCCCCACCCCCCTTTTTTATATGTTACTGATTCAATTAAAATGTAGATAAATTAACTACCCTTCATCTTTTTTTAAATGATTTTATTTTTTCAGTCAAAGTAATACACACACACACACACACACACACACACACACACACACACACACACACTAGTATATATAAATCAGAATACACACCTAGCCTTCATGTTAATAAGTATAAAAAGATATTTTGTACCAGGTGTGCTGAAGTGGCGCCACCTACTGAACACAGAGTTAATGCGCTGGGATCCGGGTGCTGAAGATGTCATCAGTAAATGGCCGTTGACGAACCGCCTTTGTTCCTGGGGCAAGGTGGTCCCTATACGCAGAGGGGACGGTGTCTTCCAGCACACCATGAACTTTTTGGTTGATGAACTCAACAGGGGCAACTGGGTGCACGTGTTTCCTGAAGGTGAGTAAATCATGTAGTCTCTGTCTCGGACAACTTCCATTGTCTGTCCTCTGACTGTCCATTGGCTGTGTTCTGGAACCATGTCTTCATCACTTGTCCTTTTGCCCCCTCCCCTCCAATAATAATAATAATAATAACACTATCCCACAGAATGTTTTTTTTTTCCTTTGTTGTTTTGTTTTGGCATAAACAATTGGCTTAAATTCATACTAATTTAAAAATTATTACTTATTGATGATGAGTAAATCATAGCCCATTCTCTCTCTTAATTTATTACCCAGATATATGAAATATGATGAAAGATGTCACAACATAATGAGATGTATATGTATGCACATGTCATTTTACACATTTGCTGTTGTTTCTTTTAATCGTCAGGTAAAATCAACGTAACAAAAGAACCAATGAGGCTGAAATGGGGTAAGTGAATATACATAATTAATTTTGAATGATATGACTATTTTTGTGAATTTGCAGTTTTAGATCTTTGCTTTGAATTTTAATGGCTGCATAAACATAATTGTTGTTGGGGCAAGAGGTTTTTTGTTGCTGCTTGTGTAAATGAAAATGAAGTTATTTGCACAGTTCTAAATACAAAAAAGAAAAAGAGGGCAGCTACATTTTAACCCTGCCATGCTGTATATTATCATATATGTACAGACATTTGTATATTGTTCATTCAGGTGTTGGAAGACTGATAGCGGAGTGTAAGATTGATCCACTGGTCATTCCAATATGGCACTTAGGTAAGTATGACTGGAGAACAGTAAGGAGTCCAGTTCAGACAAGATCAATTTTAGACCGGAAATGGAACTAATTGTTAGTCGGACTGAAAAAGAGCCTGTAGTCCCACTCCTTAAATATCAGACGGTATATATTCAGAATTTTTTTAACTGAATCAAATGGTTAATTAATTAAGTGATTTGGGGAACATGTCTGTTGTTATGTCAAGGATTACAAGAGTTGGAACTGTTGTTAAATAAATAAACAAATTTGGTCTGTAGAGCTTTATTGTGATGCCACTGTGTCATTTTGAAACAATGTAATCATTGTTATTATTATTATTATTATTTTTATTTTATTTTTATTATTTATATTTTATAATTATTGTTATTTTTAATATTTTAGGGGCAGATGATATATTGCCAAATAGAAAGCCCTATTTTCCACCCAGAATATTGAAGGTGAAATATCTCTTTCCTGACTAAAATACATATATGACTTTCTTGAGGTCATAAATTGCAATCTTATGATGGCATTTCCCATAGAGAACCGTTTTATCTGATAATCTATAAATATAAGGTGTTCAAAATAAGTTGACAAGTCGATAAGTCGCTGGTTCCTTTTTTTTTTTTTTAATTAGTTTTACAGTTTTACAACACAAGTAACAATTGGAAACATCATGGTCTCACCCACAGGAAAAACATGGAGACCGCCACGTTCCACACAATGCAACAACTACTCCCTTGTAATTTTCCTCACTAGAGGGACACGTGTCCCTCTCACAATTGCATTGTCACCTCCAACACGATACAATTCTTGGCATAAGGCATGCAGAGTTGTAGATTATTTATCCAAATTACAACTTTTGCAACAAAATGAGGTGGTTAAACAGATTATTTTTCTGTTGTCAAGGAACTGACTATATATGTTGGAAACCCCCTGGAGTTCAAGACATTGTTGGAACAGTTGAAGATAGCTAAAAAGTCCCCAGTAAGTATATTTATTACAAGTCTTAGAACAAAAGTTTGACATAACCACCAAGTGTTTAATTTTTTTTATTACAGTGACTATGGAAGTCATTTTTATACACCGATTAAACCATTTTTTTTTTTTTGGGGGGGGGGGAGGTGAGAATATCCTGGGATAAATTCATTTTGAAAGCTCAATTTTTTTTTCCAGATGGAAATCAGAAAGGCAATAACAGATGTTATTCAAGAAGAATTTTTAGAACTAAAAGCCAAAGCTGAGCATTTACACAACAGTAGAAAGATAATGCCAAAAAGCTGACGAATCTACATCATTTATCATAGCTGGGTATATTTTAATACAGACTTAATGAATTGACTGCAGTTACTTTTATTGGAATTAAGTGTCTCAGGTGAACATGTTTACATCACAGTTGATACATGAAACATTGGGCTCAGAAGGATTTAAACTTTTCATTGGTGTCAAAAGGTATAATTTCAAGAAAAAATATTGGCATGATAAGAATCAGAAGGTCATCAGTTGTTCTAACTTTGAATGTCGGAATGGATGCATAAACCATTGGTTAGTATGGGAAAGCCGTTGTTTATCCCAGGAAAATAATTTTTTGACCAAAATGAAATTTTTACCCCTTTAACATAAATATATAGTTTAACTTTTGTATTAACTTTAACTTTTTTCAAAGACAAAAACAAATCATCAGGGCAAATCATTGTTGACCATTGTTATGGTAATAAAGGTATTTAATTCATTACACATGTATTTGTGATAACATTTATTTGTCTGAAATCTCAACTCCTTCTTTCAAACCTTACTGTCTAATATAACAGGTCATTGGATTTGAAGGTGGCTGTCAACTGATGTGTTGTAACACAGAATTTTTTTTTGTAATGTTAGACTAGAGTTTGCTTGAATTTCAAAAACCCTTTTTGTAAGCAAATTTATTATTTGTTCCCGCTTGTAAATTTTCCAATCATTATCAAGTTCATTATACCACAGCCACCAAACTGTTCAACTACAGGGGTAGCAGTACCCCTGCACCCGTGACAGCTGAAATATGGCATGACTCTTTCAAAGATAAAAGTTTCTAGGAAAAAAAGAACATCCAGTGGAACAGGACTACCATTCACCGTGTCACTGCCAGGGATTCCTTCCTGAAAGTTTTGAAGTGTTCTAAATACTGCTGTATGGTATCTGCTGGGGTGTACATTATGTCCATCTTGGTTTTAAGATAATTGGAGGGATTTTCCACACAGTTACCCATAAATCCTTGCATGAATTCCTTCATCAGGTCCCAGCAGTCCCCGGGGACCATACACGGACAATACTCTACCTGCAGGCAACACAAATAGTACTTCAATTTAAAATTTTACAATTTATTTTATTAAAAATACTGATGTAATATATGACATTATTCAGTGCAAACAATAATTTATTATGTTTACTACTGCCCATTGATCTTGGATAATTTAATATACAAGAAAAAGGTCTGAAGTCTCTGATAGGATTGTAGTCTCAATTTGAAAATGTTTTCGAAGTAGATAAAGAAGATTAATTTTACTACTTTTAGAACTATTTTACTGCACAGCAGGTAAAATAAATCGATATCTAAATACCACAAATTTACCAATTAATTAAGCTTGTTAATAATTTAATATGCACCTGTAAAAATAAATTTGCTTATGTAAAAGTGAGCAACAAATAAGAGGTAAAACTTACCTCAACCAAAATTCCTTTAAAGCTAATATTTTGCCCAAAGGTAACAGATCCTATTTTAATGATAAAATCCCCCAGTGAATATCTTTGTCCTTTGGACTCTATCTTAAAACCTTTCCTTGTAGGGTAGAAATTTTTCAGCTTCAACATGAGCAGATTGAAGAGATTGTCCGCAACTAAGCACGTGCCTGTGTCGAGGACAGCAAAACATGTCGCAGGCTGCTCACTGTTGTGTAGGAGGTGCACCAGTCTATTCTGAGCTGAAATAAGAAAAAATACACCTGCGATATTTTAACAAAAATTTTGAGTGAAATGGGATTCAAAAGTTCATAAAAACCTACATTCAGAATAAGTGATTTGCAGCCTGAATAAAGCCTCTTAATGAAAAGTCTGACCACACTTAAAAGTTATTTTAAGAACAGATTACAACACAAGTCAGTGAAGTCTCGTAAGACTTTTCATCGAAACTGTAAATTTTACAATAACATAATTTTTTTTTACCTGAAGGAACTTGAGATTGATAAGTTTCACAATCCACATTAAACTGTCCACTCTTTTCAGCGCCCAGTTGTTCCAATCTCGACTGCAACACATCCACTATCTGCTGTCCGCTCTTGCCCTCTGGTACAGGGTAGGAGGCAACACTGGAAATGTATTAGAGAAATATTTTTATTTTCATTACAGAGCATACAAAAAAGTAAAAAAACATACCATAACTGCTGGTCAATCTCCTGTTGTGAGATGACAGAGGAGACATAACTGACATGGAATAAAGTCATTTTTAATAACAATCTAACTAGTAATATATGCTAGCTGTTTGCCTGCTCTCCTTCGCTTATAATATTGAATATAAAACTATTTTGTTAAAACTCCAAATAAGCACTATAAAAAAATTTGTATCACATCTGCGTAACAATAGTCTTGCAAATTTATATTATTATATAATTTATTTAATTTCATTTACTCAATTATATTTTTATCTCTTCACTCTTGGCACAAAAATTGCAAAGATAAATTTTGTCAACTTCTCCTTAAATAAGATCCTAACCAAAATGGCAACTCTTGCAAGTTGGGTTAGTGTCTATAAGTATTAGAAATGATGACACCCAATGGTATCTAATCGAAAACTGATCATTATTTAAAGAATCAAGCTTCATCAGCATGTCATGTTTTTCTTTCTTCACTTTCTTTCAGTTTTTTAGTTCGTAAATCGCGACACAGGAGCAAATAAGCCTCTTAAAATTCTATTATTAACATATACATTCATTCGACTGAATCACACTTACATACCATACAACCCCCATTGTGTCCTAATTTTTCAGAAATTCATAGTAAAAATATAAAAACACAGTTTCTTCTCTCATTCACATGCTGGAATAAAGTCCCACAATGCACTTTTGTTTACGCGGAAGTCGGTGTTGCGCGTGCGCAGAACGTGTGGAAAGCGTGCGAAAAAGGAACCGGCAAGAGAAAGAGATGGCTTCGGTAAGAGAAATTCGCATGCTAGTTCAGTTATGAACTCAATAAGAGTAATCGCATTAGTCACTTTAGATCGGTGTGCATCCCTGTGTTTAAAAATATTGGCTAAAGTTGCTTTCCCGATGACAGAATATGACTCGGTTGTTCACGAGTCACTTGACGTTATGGTAGCATGATCCATTTTCTTTCATTTCTACTCAATGTCTCCATCCATAAACTGGAGGTAATTTAGATTGTCGCACACATGGCGGTATCCAATGATTATGCTGAGGCACTTAAACACCCACTAAAGCATACAAATTTGGGTTTTTTACTAGTACGAAATAATCTTAAAAATAATTTTTATAAAATGAAATTTGTTTTGGGCGCTAGTCATTTTACTAGAAGTTTGTGTTCTCAGCGTAACTTTATGTGAGGTATGCTCTCTATCAAACCCTAAATTGAAACAATTATATATAACATATATTGACAAATCACTGGTGGTCTTACTTGTCTATTTGTTTAAATGTCCTACTCCTTTCTGTTATTTTTCAGACACTTCCCATGAACCCTAAACCCTTCCTGAATGGGTTAACAGGAAAACCAGTCATGGTGAAACTAAAGTGGGGAATGGAGTATAAAGGATACTTAGTTTCAGTAGACGGATACATGAATCTTCAGGTTAGAGTGGACCCTGTGTTTGTGTCAGCTTTGCTTTGATAACAACACTCTCGGATTTATGTAGTTTTAAAATTTTTTTTTTTTTTTTTTTTGTCACAACAATATTCAGTTTGTTTGCCATTTTTGAGTGATAAGATAATGAAAATTGTTTTAAAATAAGTGAGTTATCAGAGAAGTTTGGGTAACATGTAGAAAATACAAATACCAAAATGTGCATTTGAAAATTTGCATGCAACCTGGTCTTTTTATTTTTAAAAAGGAACTTAAACATAAGATTTTTTGTTTGATTTGATTTCAGCTTGCAAATACAGAAGAATATATTGATGGAGCTTTATCAGGCAATCTTGGAGAAGTTCTCATTAGGTGGGCCTTGATGTAACTCTCATACTAAAACATACCTTTTGCATTATTTTTGTTTTAGCAAATAGGTCTTGTGCTTAATATAAAATCAGATGTTTTTTCTTAATGTGGCAAAATTGTTATTTGTAATTTTAATGTTATCAGTAGTCGATTACAGCTGTGTAATTTAAAAAACAGAATTTTGTTTTCAGAAACCCATTTTAGTAAAAATAGAAATTTTAATTATTTCATTTCATTTATAATAAAAAAAGCTTCACATCTGCAACAGAGTAGGCCTTTGAATAGTGAAATTTATGTATAATTATATAAACTATTATCTCAATTTCAGGTGTAATAATGTATTATACATCAGAGGTGTAGAGGAAGAAGATGAAGAGGGAGAGATGAAAGACTAGCAAAAGTTTTTTTTTATTTTTACCAAAGACTCATGTTCTGAAAGTTGCTCTTTATCTGCTGGAGACATCATTTCATTAAACGTCAAAGAAAAAAAGAGCAGAATGTTCAACTTAGTGTGCTGATTGTTTTAGGCATCTATTTCATGATGCTCCAGCAGTGGCATTTTTAATTGAAAAATGTACACATTACAATTGTTTTATAAAATTCGTCCCATGCAGTATAGTCATTTCATTTTTCTTTGTTAATTTTCAAAGACTTCCTTAAAGCAAAATGTTTGCATTCCATGAATTCAGAACTGTAGTTGACACAGTCTTCTATATAGACAGATTGAAACCAATTTCATGGTTATTAGTTGAAAAGTTGGATTATTGATATTGATGAACTAAAATTAATGGCAAAAGCATTGTCATCTGTATGTTACTGTAAATATTCTGCTTAATTGATTCAAAGTGGGTACTTCATAATGATCATGTGCTTTGAAAGTGACAATGGAGCCACACCGAAGTGTGTATGCAAGTCTAGGGGCAAATTGGTAAGCATTCATTCCCATTCCTATTGGACAGCAGAAGCCTGCTTGTGGATGGTAGTTTTCAAAAAAACCTGAGAAACTTTTAATGGGTTGTTAAGATTTTCCCGTTTCTGCACATTCTTAAGTCCTGGTGTATTGTAAAGACAAGTGAGCTGAACAGTTTGACTAACAGTCAAGATTGCGTCAAATGACAGTGTTCTGTGAAGCAAATCTCCTTAGGAATATCAAGGATATAAACCTGAGAAATTGCTTAATTGGCAAGTCTGTATTGTTGACCTGTAATTACAGCATTGTTGTAAAATACAATAATTAGGGTAGACATTGCTTTTAACTTGTCACCCAGCAGTTCCAAAATAAAACTTTTTATAGTACATTGTTCTTGACTTTTATTTCACAGTAGCAAATCAGGATTGCAGGCAAATGAGGGTTATTTAGCTATAATTTAAAATTTTTCTTTTGGTTATATAATTGAAGTCATAACTCGAACAAATATTCAAGAATAATGGTCCATTTTACTTAGCTAGTAAAACAGTAATCATGACAAAAGTTGAAACGTGTAATAATTATATGTACAATATGAACATGGTTACAAAATATAAACATCTCCAATTATACAAGGGAGAATTTGCTAATCGATGGAAAACGCCACAATGAATGTTCTTTATATGATCTGCACCAGTTAAAGCTAAATCGTTTTTTCCTTCCTTAAAAAAAAATTATTGCAATCGATTGTAACAAAGTCAACGAGATTTGGATGCTGTAAATAATTTATTAATGTCGCCTAAACAAAATGTTCTCATAACTCCTCTTTCGTTCTGGCAGCATGAGCCTCTGGGGCATGCTCTGGCATTAACTCCTCAATCTTACGAATAAAATCAGATTTCTCGGCACATCCCTTGCACTCCTCTCCCCAGTTGTTTAAGATGTTTTTCAAATCTTTTACTTTCAATTTTTTAAGGTTCACTGTTGCCAGGTCTACTACTTTTGCTGAAATAAAAAAGGAGAAATTGTTAAATGTCATAAAAATTTCCCTTTTTTAAAGGACATAATGTTTAATTGCTTTCATTAAATTTTGTGGAAATAATCCCATTATGGTAGTGAAAAACACTGCAATATAACTGAAGAGAATACTCTTAATGTAAACATTTACATATCATCCTTACATTAGTCTACATATTACGCTGATCTATTTTCAGATGAAACAAAGGAAAATAACTTACGATATCTTAGTTCACATATTTGGCTATCTTTTCTGTTCAGTTTTTCACAAACTTTATCGGCAGGTACTCCCCAACTCATGGGTTTAGACATCTCTCCAAGGATACCAGTGGCAGAGGTTTCTAGGGCCCCAATATAGTAACACTGAAATATAATACAGAAGGATTATTGTATATAATAATAAACCCCGGTTAAATCTTTTTCACTTGATTGTTGTTAATTGTTTATTGATATTATACCCTGAAGAATCAGACACCTGTTATGAAATGCAGCAAAATAAACTTAAAACAAACTTGTTACTTACTAGTAAACATATTAGGGTCTAAATAGAGAAGACATTTAATGTTACTACAAGGGTGTATTTTAACCAATTTGTTTTTTCATTAATAATAAAACTGTGTTTAACAATGCAGTGTACTCACCAATCTTTCATCTTTGTTCTTGGCAGATTTACAAAACTTCCTGAACTTTTTCTCAATGTTTTCAACCGTTTTTTCTTCACCTTCCAGTGTGTTCATAAACTTTGTTAGAAACTTGATACAGACTGAAATAAAGATAAAAACTTTTTGTACTTTAAACTAAACAAAAATGTAAAATTAATGAAACAGAAATAGTTGAGCCTAAGCTTTTTCAAAGTAATGTAGAAGATAACCATTCCATTCCAAAAATTTCTACAACAAATTTAAAGAAAAATGTTTAGCACAGCAGTAATCTTGTCACTGAAAATTGTATATAACATGTTAGCAGATTCTTATAAAACATAAATACCCATTACGCTTCTTTACTTAGTTAAGTACACTTTTAACAATACGTACAGTTAATAAATAACAGAAATGAATGGTAATGAATGGTAGAGGTAGACTGTTCTAATAGACAACAATGGCATTCGATCTAAATGATTCTTTTTATATCTAAATAATCACACAAGCCACTTTTCTCATATTAATGTCACACATCATTCCAATAAGACTGTTTCGAGGTCATTCTTCTGACGTCACTTGGCTAACTAAACTCAAGTATTGGTATATTGTATGAAATGCCACTTTCGTCTTTAGATGTTTAGTGTTAACAGGGGCATTTTACCTCTTAGATTAACTTAATAAACCCTGATGAACTAAATACCTCTCATTTCAATCACACAGTCCTTAATCATTCTTGTGAAGTTTTATTTACCTGGGCAATCTTCTTCCTTTAGAGCATTTGTCGTACTTGTCAAAGCCAGGATTCCTAGAACGCCGGCACATACGTACAGTAAAGTCATATTTAAATCCATTATCACAAGACAATGTACTGTCTGTTTCTAATTCTCTTTTCTTTTCCCTTTGGATTGTATCACAGCCGTTTTTGCTTGTTCTGTCGAGAGAAACACACACGTCTAATTAAACTTTTTGGTACTGCTATGAGGATTGTCATTCATCCACGTTGCTCAAGAAAGCGAGTTGTCGGCTTCTGATTGGTTGAAATTCCTCTCGTCTGGAAACGAGAAATTGCGATACCATAATGGCCGCTGCCTTTGGGGTTCATTTCGGCTCAACTTCAGCCTGTTTAGCCGTGTATAAGGTCAGCACTGGAATAATTCAAATTGATCAGACCGAAGGAAATTATCCCATGTGTCTTTGAGACTCATCTCGCTTGATTTTCACTTAAGATTTTGGGATCTGCTCACACAAGTAAATTGATAAACAAAGCGACTGACAACTTCACGTGTATCTGTTACTAAAAATAGCAAAAATAAAATCTAGGTCATGTGAAGAATGTTGTCTCCCTGTACGCTTTCAAACATAAAAATCGATTACAGTGTCAAACACAACCTTTAATAAATATATAGTGTTGTTATTTCTAAGTCCGTCTTACGTTTAAGACCGATTTTGGATATTATAACAACATTGATTTTATAATTCTGGACTGTCAGCAGCCAGCATGAAAGAAGAATGATTTTTGCCTTGTTAAATTTTTAATCACATTTTTGGTAATGATTGTAATGAAATTAAAAAAAAAAAACATTTCATCATATTTTGTATAGGAGGACCACTGCCTTATTTCATGAAAATGTCAACCTTCAACTGAAGTACCAATGAATTGCATGTAGTTGTATTTATATATTCATGTATTATTAAATGATTATTATATATAATTTTTTCTTCATTTAGGATGGAAAAACAGACGTGGTTGCTAATGAAGCAGGAGACCGAGTGACACCTGCAATAGTAGCATTTACTGACCATGACAAAGTAGGAACAAAGCTCTCATAATTATATACTCAGTATTAAACTTAAAAGAAGTACTAGTACTGTATAAAATATATAAACAACATACAGTATGTATCGATACTTAATATTTCTATAACTCATTAAGTTGAAGTTTGCATACAATAAACAGAAAAACATAAGACTTAACGCCAAAAATTATACATTAATTATATTTCTAGTTATATATAATCACAAAAAAATAAAGACAGTCATATATGATTATACTATGTCTTGTATGGGCATTTTAAAAAAAAATTCATTGCATTTTATTGATTTCTTTCTTGTTCCTTTGCTAATATGTAGGCGGTTGGCTTGGCTGCTAAGCAAGGTATCATAAGAAATGCACAGAATACTGTATGCAATGTGAAGCAAACTTTGGGCAGAGAATTCACAGATCCTGCTGTTCAACAAATAACAGCAAGCTCTCCTGTAAAGGTAAGACATATAACACTGTCTAGTAGATATATGTTATAATGGTAGATTTGTTTGATTTTTAATTTATTTGATTTACGTAAATTTACTTTCTTTTTGTCATTTTGTTGACAAGGTAGACTATCAAAAGAGTTAATTATTTCATCCAAATTTAATAACTCAGGATGCCTTTCTCTCAATATTGTTACTCAGATTGTTGAAAAAGATGGAAAACCAGCATATGAAGTGGAGTTTCAAGAAAAAAGGGCAACTTTTACTCCAGTTCAAATAGCAGAACTGGTCTACAAGAATATGAGAGGTGTGTGAAATTTCAGCCATTTCTCTTACAATTTATGTTGCAGCTTTTTATGTATTTCATAATCTCATTCAGATATGATTATTAATTTATTAAAGAAAAAAAACACTTCATATTATAGCCAACCCCAGATGATTTTATTACCACATTAAGCACATTAGGCAGGTTCAAGGAAATTGGTATAATTTTTACTTGTGCAGGAAAAATGCTGTACATGTATGTATATTTTTTCTTTTTGGTTTATGTGAAATAAGGCATATAATTCCAATGCCCATGTTTATGTTGTAAAGACAAAACTTATTAGCAGCAAGGTATTTGCAGACATTGTTATGTTGTGCAGATTTTACAAGCATTTGTCATATCTACTAATCAACACTGACAAAATGACAATGACAAAAACTTGAACCCTCCCCCCTCCCCCCTTTGCTAGCAGGACTTTGAGGCTATGCAGGAGTATACTATTTCCAAATTACCTGCACCCCTGACTGATGTCACCCCCTTTGAAATGACTCCAAGGTCTGTGAATTGTAATAAATTTATAATATGACTGCAGATATTTTGCTCCTTATGCTGTCTTCACTGCAAAGTGATAAAGATATGATCGCAGCATACGTAGTTTTCTTTATAAAATGTATTTTTATGTTGGTGTTCAGAAATAGCTCAGAGTCATGGAGATGGAGAGATACACGACACAGTGGTGACTTGCCCTGTCGATTACAATCCACAGCAGAGGAACGCACTAAGGTATGTACTAAGCAAAAGTCCAACCAGACGGCAGAAAAGCACAGAGGAGATAAAAAGAAAATGATCAGATAAGCTTGTCATTGGATTAGGGGGTTGTTATTATTAATGAATGTTAGGATATCAATATAGTTGACTTCCAGTGAGGTAAATATTGATTTTTAAGTATAATTTACATGAGACAAGTATCTTTTATCAAGCTGGAATAATTTATAATGATATGCTTTTCAAAATCTCATCTGATCTACAAGAGGATTTATTATTATTATAATTATTATTTAATTTTGCAATTAAATTTCAGTCAGTCCGCTGAGGCGGCAGGTTTTCATGTATTACGAGTGATAAATGAGCCAACTGCCGCGGCACTGGCTTACGACCTCGGACAGAAAGACATCCATGAATATTGGTAAGATTAGCATCTACAAATGCATTTCTTTCTGTTTTTTCCAAAATAAGAATAGAAATATAATAATAAGAAACTCTGGGGTAGCGCTAGCAATTTTTTTCGCTTGGCCAAATCACCACATTTTTGTCAATTTGGTATCAAAATGGTTATAATTTCGCTAAAACATGCCAAATCAAGCCCTTTTTCTTTAGCCAATTTAAGTCAGTTTTAGCATTTGGCCAAATTGGCGAGTGTTAGCGCTACCCCAGAAACTGTTTTATAAGTGACAAAATGAAAATGTCAGTTTCTATGCTTTGGGTGTGCTGTAAAATATCTGCTTTGAATTTTGACATTTTTTTAAATGTTTACACCATACTGACTTCTGTTTATGTTTCAGAATTGTTTTATCATATTGTTATTTCTGTCACATTCCTCAGGCCCCATTCAGAATAGAGAAGTAACTAGTCCGAGAGTCAAATACGGCTGACTCACTTGAATACTTCCCCATGGGATATCTATTTAGTGTCTATAGAGGATTAGACGTCAAGTTTTGTAGTGGGTTGCCATATTTGACTCTCGGACTAGTTAGTTCCCTAATCTGAATGAGGCCTCTGTTTCTATTCCAGCAATGTATTAGTCTACAGACTTGGGGGCACATCATGTGACTGCACTGTAATAAGTGTGAACTGTGGTATGTACAGGATACTGGCAAACATCTCCAGACCAGATATAGGGGGCAGCAGCTTCACCGATGTTCTAGCAGAGCATTTTGCTGGGGAATTCAAAAGGTAAGGGGTTTTTATTCAGGATCATTTGAGATGGCACAAAGTGTTTATTAATTAGAGTTACATAACAACTTATAATCAAGTGAGACTTTACAGGATTTGGAGGGCAGCAGATTAGAAATAATGACAGAGTCGTGAGGACATTTTCTTGTCTCGTACATGTACATACTGGTAGCATCATACTGAAATATTTAAAGGAAAATATATATTCTTTTATGATTATTAATTTATCATAGAGAGATTTTATTTGTGCCTGACTGTCCTCTTTCTGGTAGATATCAATGCTGTGAAAGCACTTTATTAAACAGCTTTTTGAATACCAGAAACAACATTTCTTTCTTTTTGACTCTCTTTTATTGATTGGCTAAATTACATTTCTGTATAAGTTTATCTTTAAAACAAGTTCCCATAAATTTATCTCTAAACAACATTATTTGTTTCTTCCATCTTCTGCTTAGGCAGTTGCACTACTCCTGATTAACTTTGATTTGTTACTACTGACTCTTTAGCAACTGTTCTGTCAATGCAACTGCTATAATCCTGACTGTAATCATAATTTGCAGGTTTAAATTTAAAACAAATATAATCTGTGCTTTATATGTACTATGTATAATTGTCTCATGTAATTGTCTGATATTTTCCTGTCTGAATGATTCTAAACACTACTTGCAGAACAGTAATTATTACGCTTAGTGCATATGTTGAGAAGAATTGGAATTAACCAAAATAAAACTTAATTCAAAGCCTTTTAGAATTGAAACAATGTCATTGGGACAAGGTGCTAAAGTGAATAAGTAAACTAAGGATTTATTTTGATAAAATTAAGTTAAATTTATTTAGTGAATTACCTGTTCATATTATTTCTCAGATCAGTCAATATATATTTATAGTCTGTACACACAATATAGTGCTGTAATCTCTATTCTAAGAATCCTTATATTGTAATACTGTATTGTATTACTGGATTGTGTTACTGTATTGTGTTACTCTGTTGCTGTAAAGATAGCAAAAACATCAGCCTCTTCAAGGTTTTCTGAAAATGGAAATTTGAAGACTTTTAAATGATTGATAAAATAAAAATATGTAGTACTACCCATTCCTTCATACCTGTAAGGTAAACATGAAAGATAGTTTTCTGGACAGATTCATAAATATTATTATTATGAAATGGCTAGTGGATAGTAAATGGCCATATTAACAAAATTTTAGTTTCTCTTTAAGAGAGATGGACCATATTTTGGTCTAAAAATTAAAGCTAATTATCAAGCTTGTGAAACTGACCCATGGTACTTCATTGACAGAATAAATAATATAAAAAAAAAGAAACCTACGTCTTGAAAAAACAACAGCATTGTGACCTGGTGCGTACAGGAAGGCGGGATATCGGTCGAAGGCTTCGTATGCACATCCGGGCTTGTTGATAACCGCTATCCATCCTATGTCATTGCTGCACCCATTGTGGGACTTATTTATGTGAAAATGACGGGCGTATGGGGGCCTGAAATGAAGATATTAAGATGAAATCAGATATTGATGAAGTGACCTTTAAAAGCCAATATCTTTAAAAGAGCACACATTTGGAAATTGTTATAAAAAGTATTGTTCTGCCAGTGTTACACTAATCTACAGCATATTTTGTTCTTGATGTATAAACTGTTAGATTTTCCAGACTGGAGACTGATTCACATGTGCATGTATGTGCGCATGCTTTACTGATGTTTTGTGGAGCTGATAAAATGATATACAGTTACACAGATCATAATACCTGACAAAGCCTTGAATGCTGAAATAGTAGCCAGATGTAGATTGGGAAGCAGTGTCAATGTCTGAATATGGGGAAGATATCAATCTGCCTTTGTCAAACCATGACATCTTGTCGCTGCCTGTAGCGTCAAATATCAGAACAATGCGCTCCACACCACCCTTGTAGAAGGCCACTTTTACCTGGAGAAGAAATGTCATTCCATATTCAGATCCACACAGTTGAATAAAATATTTGAATGAAATATCACATTAGTGATTTATTTATTTTAATACCTGGTACATTGATAAACAAGGAGTTCCTGTCTATTAAATGACAACTTAAGTAAAATGGATACTAAATAATTAAAAAGGAATAATATTATTTTACATATTTAATCTTCTCATTCTTCCAGTTGTTGACCAGGTGAGACTTGTAGTGTACTTTCAGTGAGCTTGTCAAGGACTTGGCTTGGGGAATGTTTTCATTCAGAGTTCTATCTGAGCTCCATAGCTGATACATGTCTTCCCCGCCACCTGCCACTGCCTTGAAAACCAACGTCCACTTATTCAGGGTTGCTGTAACAAAAAGACCTTTGTTATTATTTCTACCTTTCTTTCTTTCTTTCTTTCTTTCTTTATACATTTCCTTTAATTTCTGGTTGCATATGCCTTAGGAGGATAGGCTTCCATATAAAGATGTCATCTTATACTGACACTGTATGCTATAGCTGGTGTTTCTGTTTCTTGTCCTAAAAATAATGATATTTAAAAGGTTACCTCCTCGGTTTTTGTATTTTTACTAAATAGAGATGTTTTAAGAAGGTGATAAAAGAAAAGAAAAATTACAGTTATTGGACTTACCCATGAAATCATTTAATATGGTAATGTTTTGCTGTTGACTGGAAACCGTGGCGCTCAACTTTTGAATGGCTTCAGTCATTTTTTTCTCCAACCCTGTGAACTTATTTTCAAGCATCTGGCGTGCCAGTGTTTCCTGCATCAATAACGTCTGCATGGTGGATATTTGTGTGTGGAACTTGTTGCTGACATCTAGCAGTTTTTGAGACATTTCCGTGGCGCATGACTCGTATTTTGGGCAGGTACACCCATGGTCTGGCCCAGAGATGTTAAGATGTATAGGAGGCAGGCAGTGTACCTGTGCTGACCAAAATACAGTGATGACCAAAACTGAGGCAAGTGCAGACTTCATGTTGGGTTTGGCCACCTTAGTCGAATCCCTCAGTATGGCTTTTTAAATGTAGCTTTTCTGAGACCTTGGCCTTTTGTTTGTTTGTCTAGGAGGAGTTTATAAGCTATCAAAACAAGGGGTGACAATTTCAGTCTGTTCAATTTTTTTTTCTTTCCTGCTCCTCCCCTACCCCCTTCCCTCCCCTCCTAACTGATTCCCTAACAATAACCATACATTTCTGTGAAGAAGTTTGGTTAATATGGTGTTAGTAATTTTTATTTAGATTAAAGGTTGTTGTCTGGAACCCTTAATGTTTATTTATTTTGATGATAGTCTTGTTCACCTTTTTACAGGCATCAAATAGTTTCCTCAAAATTGAATAGTCCTATCTTATCATCTGGTAATATAAAACTATACAAATACTGTAATCAAACCTTTAGGACTAGCAGTAGTAGGCCCTTTTCACATTAAGTGGTATACTTAGTGATAAAGACTGTAAACTGTCTGAGGCACATGATTTGAGAAATTGACAAGTTTTTACCTGAGCAGCCATGAACACCATTTTAACATTAATTTAATGACACCATTGAGTTCTTTAAAACCCTGCCATTGATTTTTCTTAAAAAGCTTTAGTTCAAATTTTATCGTCAAAAAGTCAAATTAATGCCTTTGATCAATGAATCATTGTAATTAGGGGCTCATTACTCTATGACAAAACATGTAAACCAAAATGACCACACGATTAAACCCCATACATCTGTCATCGCCTGTGCCAATTTTTGTGATCTTGTTTGGGGATGATGTTACGCCCCATGCCAATGCTATCTCACTTCAAAATAAAAAGCTGTTAAAATGACGATAAACTCTGAGGTGCTTATGCTAAAGCTTAGCAACAAAAAATTTGAACGACAATATTTTATATTTTGATAACAATTTTAATTGTATTTAATCAGATGCATGATGATAAATGCATTATTAAGGTAATGTCTCGATCTTTTCAATGGGCAAAAATGATCAAACTTTCAGATACATCATTTTAAAATTATAAAAATTATATTTGTGTATAGCATTTGTGGTGCTTTTAATACATAGAATAGAACTATAAGGTTGTCTACTTTTCAATTTTGTTCCTACCACTCAATAGGATTGCTCTTATTTTAAAAAATTAAGACTTGAAAAATAGTATCAATAAAAATTCACAATTTTCCCCCATTGAAAACATCCAAGCCATTACCGAAAATAATAAAATTCTCATTGTAGGTTTTTATGCTAAGAATGTAATTTGTCTCAAGATTAATTGCTTTTTTTTAATAAAATCATTACAGAATTGTCTCTGATGGAGCAATACTGAGCAGTGCTATGATTTTTGAAAGAAAACTTTTTATCCTGCATGTTCATTGAATACACCAGCTATTGTAATCAGCATTTAAAGAGATGGTAACTGTTCATTTTAGCCAAAAATTGGATATCATGGGGTTAACAACAATTTTCCCATTAATGATACTTATTAATAGTTAATAAATCTGTTCAGACATTCAAATTTAGTACATTTTTTTTTTCTTTTTTAAAGATCGGTTAGCGTATAGCCATCTTTGGAGGTATCATGGTCCAATGAGTTGCTTACAGTGTATTTATTGTGAAATATGAATCTCATACAAAGAGTTGTTCTTAATTTCATTGGATCCATTGTTCTCTTTCTTTCCTTGGGTGCACAATTTTCTCTGAAGAACGGCATCATTCCCTCTCTGGTTTTTACTCTGTTGCCATGAAAATGGCCAGCACATCAGCCTCTCCATGTTTTCCTACAATACAGATATTGATAATATCAGGATAACGTTTGAATATTTATAACTGCATTGTTTTTCCATATACCCTTAATCTTCTAATTGCTGAAGCTTGGAATTTGCCAAGACCTGCTACTTGTGGAGGGGAGGGATAACTATAATGGTTCAGTATACTTTCTGTGAAACAGTGGTTCTTATATATTGAATTTAGTAACATTTTGGTGATGAGAAGCGGAGAGAAAGAGGCATTTACTTTTAAGTTAGAACAGAATTTTTATAAAGCAGCTAAGATTTCACTCTTTTTGATTTCATCAACATGAATGCCCCAAGGGTATTGGTTCAGTTAATTATTAATAATAATTATCAGTATAATTTTTGATACTATCATTGGTGACCTCTGACCTTTGGCCCAGTTAATGGCTGTGTGTCCAGGAGCGTACAGGAAGACTGGATATGCAGGATACTTCTCGTAGGCACAAACAAAAGCATTGTTAGGTACAGCCAGCCAGCCGTAATCCTTGGGACAGCCGTTATGAGACTGACTGATGTAGAAGTAGCGGCCATATTGACCACTGACGCTGAAAAAATATCATAGTCAAGATTTAGATTTTGATTCAACTTCACGTACACTAAATTTTGTTACACTGCAAACATTCAAAATTATTCTGATTTTAATTTTGAATACTTGAAAGAATTATAATATTCGTCAGCTAACAGCAAAGACTTGAAAGTCTTCAAATTCAGCTGCTGATTGGACATTTTTTTTAGACTTGGAAGGCTGTTTATCTATTAAAGGGATAATAACTCTTCGTTTCGGCCAAAAAAAGAATTTTCCTGGAGAAAACAACAATTTTCCCATACTTACCAATGGTTAATTAATCCATTTTTACATTCAAAGTTAGTCCCTGTTTTTTTTTTCTAAAAAGTTTGGTTTTTTGTTAAAATCTCTTAAGAGATTTTAACAGAGTATAGCCATCAGTGGAGGTCACGTGGTCTAAAGACAAGCTCAGATATCAGAATAATAGCTATAACTGCCGTTTTTGTGGTAAAACAGAATATATTATATTTCTATGAGTTATTCACAATGTTTTGTGAAATAAAGATCTCATATGAAGAGTTATTATCCCTTTAAGCTGACATTTTCATTTGAACTTGCATGTCAGTGTTGGTGATCTGTTATTTTATCTGTGGTAACACTCTTCATATAAAAAAAATATATATAGAATTATGTCTGAAGTGGTCTCCCTACCTGCTGGGAGTTCCCCTGATGCTAAAGAAGTTAACGGAGGAGGTATAGATGTCAACATAAGGAGAAGAAATCAGTCGGTCTTTGGCAAACCAGTTCATCTTGTCACTTCCAACGGCATTAAAAATCAGGGTGAGACGCTCAATGCCACCCTGGTAGAGAGCAAGTTTTACCTGTGATAAAGAGATGAGATTCAGTGTACAAATTTGTTTCATATTATGTTACAGATTATTTTTAGTCCCATCACTTGTTTATGATCTTGTTGACATATTTGATGTGAAAGCATTTGTAGAGGCAAAATGGAGATTATCACCATTTTGAATTTTCATATTTCTTTCTGTTTTGACTTAAAATTAATTAATTAAATAAAAGCACTAGTTAACTTTAGAAAATGGACACACTGACATCAGTAGCTTATGGGGATCACTTTAGGATTTTAAATAAAAAAATGCAATTTCGTACCCATAGAGCAATATTAAAAGAGTCTGTATGTAATAGTGTTGCAAAATCCATTTGAAAATAATATCCAATTTTTAAAAATAACATTCATGCCCATGTTGGTACTTTTTATACTTTTTGGAAAAAAAAAAGAAAAAAATGCGTACATATTTGATGTTATTTTTGGCCCAGTCATTGACAACAGACGTCTTGTAATGCTCCAGTAAGGTTGGCTCCAATGACTGAGCTAGAGTGTTACCCTCATTCAGTACTTGGTTGGAATTCCACAGATTATAGAGGTCGCCACCTGCACCTTTGACGGCCTTGAACATCAGCGTCCATTTTGATTGTGATGCTAAAAGACGTGAAGATCTGTAGATCTGAATGGTGCCTCATTTCATGAGGTGTCATTTTTCAGGTCACACTTTACAGTCAGATATTAAGAAATTTGTTTTTAAAAAAAAGGCATTTTTGTTTTCATTTGTACGCCTTGACAATAGTTTAAAGTATCAGTTACAAAATTTCTTTCTGATTCTGACATAAGTTTGTCATAAAATATTTATTTAAGTAATGATCTTTTTGGCTTATTTCTTGTACCTGTATCAATGCTTTGTTTTCATATAATTCATATGTATTCATTATGATTAAATTTTAATTCGTTCATTTTATAGTTATATGTTACATTGCATCAAAGAAGAAAATATAAAGTTGAGCAGAATGATCATAAAAAATGGCAGTCATAACAGTACTGTACTCACAGATGAAGTTAGACAGCTGCGTCTGTAGCTGAGTCAGCTCTGATCTGACCGTATTGGAGTCTGTCAGCTGCTGGTTCTCCAACGTCAGCCGATTTAGAACTTCCTGTTGCAGCCTCTGTTCCAGAATGAGCGTCTTGTTCTCCAGCGCCTGCCGTTTGCTCATTTCCGTCTGCAGCAGGGTCTCCAGATCTCTCCTCTTGTCGGACTCCAGGTTCAGTTGCGTCTGATACTCTTCCGTGGCGCTCTTCAGTTGGGAGGAAAGGAGGGCAATTTGGTCATCATATTTGTCGCAGGAGGCACCAAAACTCTCCTCGGGTATTGTGAAAGAAAGAGTGCACTGGTTTCCTGTTGGCTCAGTAACAGTGTCTGGATGGATTTGTCCTGTGACAAAAGCACCAAAAACAATCCCCAAGAAAAGAGAGCATCTGATTGCAGAGACGGTCATTTTGTCTGCGTTGACTAGGTGGTCTACTTTGTCACTGAATTCCACTGTCTGCAACAAAGAATCTGTTGACAAGATATCATAGTTGTCTAAACAGAAGGATTACTTGAAGATAAGAGGCGGGGCGGGACAGAGACAAGTTGATGTGCATGGGGCTGATAGGAGTTTTATGTACAGACACTGCATATGTTTATTTATATTTTGATCAATGTGGATGTCTGTGTCATTGCCTCCTAGCATATCTTTGGCTCACCCTATTTCTGCTAAACCAAGTTTTTGTTTAATTTTAAATTTACTAAATGGCTTTGTTTGCAAAAAAGTTCCCCTCAAAAAATTAGCATGTTAGGATTTTTTCTTTACATTAGTTATTGCTTATTGGCTTTTTTCTGTTAAGCTTCTGTATATTTGCCAGCTTTGCTGTCTAGTTTTAGTTATTTCTAGTAACATAGCATGGTCTGTTGAAGGTGTACACAATTTACAGTCTGATCCTATAGCAGGCTGCAATGAGTTATCACCTTGCTGGATATATGGTAGTCACTCACAACTTGCATACTCCAGAAATTCCAATATTTCATTTTTTCAAAGATCTCAGTTCCATTTCCCTTATGAAGTCGCACTTTTTATATTTACTTGAAAAACATCCTTTTCAGGTGTCACCCATAAAATATTATTTTTTGGAAAATTCTATCATTTTTATTATTCTTTTTTCATTCAAACTTTGTGGGTATTCACCATGATATGTACACAACACAGTCAATGATGGTCTTACAAATATTTGGAGATTTCACCATGCTCAAGACCTTAATTGTAATAAATAATGCGTGGTCAGTTGGTGATTATGTCATTCCTCAATCACTAAGTGGTTCTTTGTTGACAGAAACTCACTGTCTCTGTTGACAAAGGGACATGTCACATAAACTGTCAGATTAACACCACTGTCATGGACTTTCTAGTTAAACCACAACTTCATCACATCCTCTCAGCAACTTCTTCCAGCTCAAAAGATGTCTCCTTGTCATTGCTACTTAAAAATTGCAGCAGAAATAAGCAACAATAGGAAACTAGTACTACAATATTTCAGTTACAAGTGATATTTTTCAATTTTATGTACTTCATTTCAGTGTTTTTCTTATAATATTTAATAGCACACATTCAATCCAGATATGCATTAATTGCCCACAAGATGCATCTGGTGAACCAAAATATCTGAATTTTAACTACAAAGAAATGATTAAAATTTCAACTGAATCTAATATAATATTATAAAAAGGAATGTGATTTTCTGTTATCCATTTCAGTAATTGCATGGCATTGCCTTTTTTTCTTGGCGGAGGTCTGCACTCCAGAGTCTTGTAACTGATGGAAATAATTCAAGGTTTTTCTTTATCCAGACAAAATATTTTAACACACAAAGTCAATATCACTCAATGTAATTCAGAATTCATTTGAAATAATTGTTTTTTTTTTTTCATCTTACAGACAGTGGAAGTCAGATGTGCATGAAAACAAGCGTGCTGTAGCCAAGTTAAAGAACGCCGCGGAGAACTGTAAACACGTTTTGTCGACCATGCCGACAGCACAGTGCTCCGTGGAGTCTCTTCATGAAGGGATTGATTTTCAGTCAAGTGTCTCCAGGTGAGAACCAAGGTATTTGATTGGAAGATGTATCATGGGAAGGGATTGGGTGATATAAGATGAGAGGCTTGATATTTAAATTACAGTTTTGTTATAGAAAAGTTTGAGAATGGAGGAGGTATTTGAATGTGATTTCTTCAGAAAAGTTATGTCGTTGGAAAAGAAATATATTAGGAGATGAGAGGTGGGGGGGGGAGGCTTGAAGAGTTGCTAAGAAATGTAGAAAAAATGAGACCTCGGACGGAATGTAAATGAAAGGGAATATAAGAGGTCATTGAATTTCAGTCCAGTGTTTTGATAAAGGTGCATTGACCAATTTTTATGCCAGAGATACAAATGGAGAAATGTTTAAAGCCTTTTGAAAGCACTTGAAAAAAAATTCCTACAGGTGTTATTCAATATAACCAAGGATATGTTGATAAAAATGCAGGTAAAAAAAAATATGGAAAAATCCTCTGAAATGTTGAAATCTTTCAAGTCATGTCTGCTTCCAGAGCGAGGTTTGAAAGTCTTGTGTCTAGTCTTCTCCAGCAATGTCTGCAGCCAGTAGAGCAGGTACTGACAGAGGCCCAACTCACCAAAGAGAACATACACAAAGTGAGGTTATTTCTTGCCTTATTACTTACATGAATTGCTAGCATCTAAAGAAAGTACAGTAGTCTTTTACAGTGGTGTTCAGCTAAGGATTTTAAGATTTTTAAAGAGTTAAATTAAAAATAATTTTCTTATTGATTTTTACCCCTGGACTGTTATTATAATGATAATAATAATGCTAATTCTAACAGCTCATTCCATTCAATTTTCAATTTGCCTTAGAAATTTACTGGTATTTGAAAAATTATAATTATAAATCAAATAACCTTATAATAGGTAAAATCATGAATTTAAAAGACTGGATTTCTAAGTATCTAACAAATAAGTTACTATTTTGAAACATGGAGGCAGTGCTTAATAAGCCATGCTTGTCTATAATTTAGGTCATCGTGTGCGGAGGAACCACCAAGATTCCTGCGCTACAACGTTCCTTAAAAGATTACTTTAACGAGGCTGAGTTTCTAAACAGTATAGTGCCTGATGAAGTGGTGGCACTGGGGGCTGCCAAACAGGTGGATGAACTTTTAGTTGTGTGTGTGTGTGAATGTGTGTGTGTGTGTGTGTGTGTGAGAGAGAGAGAGAGAGAGAGAGAGAGAGACAGAGAGAGAGAAGGTGCATGCAGCTGTGTGTGCATCTGAGCATGTGTGTGTGTGTGTGTGTGGTTGAGAGAGAGAAAAGAGAGATTGTTTTGTGTGTGTTCTCTGTGAGTGTAAGACAGTGTATGTAAATATTAATACTGTTGACTACTTCAAAGTTTATGGTCTCTGTGTTTGTCTCTTTCTATGTTATTTATTTTAGATAAATTTCAGATTAATTAAAAACTGTTCATAATATTTGTTCAACTGAAGTTTTAACAGAAGAAAGTGTCTAAAGTCTATACCAGATCCTATTGCATGTACATGCTTCTTTTCCAGGCAGCCATATTAACTGGGAATGAGGAAGAATCAAAATTACATGAACAGGAAAATGAAGTGGAATGTCTGTCTAAACAGATTCTCATCAAGGTACATGTTGATCAGATGTCAATTTTAAAGACTGTTTTTGCAGTTGTGTTTAAAGTAGCATCCACATTATTTCAAGATAATATATCAGTGATATGTCCAATTCAGAAATGAAAAAACTAGAATTTAGTTTCTTTTGAGGGCAAATGTAGATTAAAAAAATGCTGATATTTGGAAACTAAATCATCATACCACAATACTAACAATCATTTAATTGTAACAAAAAAAAAAAAAAAAAATAGAAAGAAATAACCTATGAAGTTCTGTATCATCCACTTAATTTCCATTATTTCAAGATATTTCTTCCTGGCTTATGTTGATAGGTGTTGCCTAGCAACAGTGACCAAGACAAGCTTCAGGTGCTATTTCCAGCCTTCACTCCTATCCCAGTGAGGCGACAACACGTATTTGACCTCTCTCAAGAGCAGACGACATTTTGTGTGGAAATCTTTGAAGCAGATGACAGTATAAACGATAGAGTATTGCTAGGCAGGGTGAGTACTTTTGCTCTGTTGGAAAGAAGATTCTGCATTTGAATAAAAGATATTGACTTATATTTATTTTCTTTTATGTTGTGTTATTTGCTAATGTTAGACTGGGGATCTAATTATTTCATTTTAGATTTAATTTTCGTGAAATTCTGAAATTGTTCAAAGGAAAACATAAGTATGAATTCATTACCATGAACAATTCCAGTTGAAATTAATATTTTCTCCTGATCATTACAGTAAAATTGTGAGAACATGATGTTGTGTGTGTGTTTATAGAGATTCACTCACACTAGCATACGTGCATGCTCACACATACACACAAGCAAACACACATATTGTGATAGTGTAATATTTTACTGCTCAGATTCAAGAACCTAATATATTGTAATGAGTAGCAAACACTGGATTTAGGTTGATAGATAATTACTCAATTTCAGACACTTAAATGTCCTTCCTAAATGAAGACTTAAAACAAATTAAGTGATAATCAAAATGGTGGATAACAGTAATGTCCAACTCCTTCCCCCCTCTCTCTCACACACACACACACAAACACGTCTGTGGGTATAATATAATCATTGTCTCTCTGTCTCTTTGTTTCTAGGTGGTAATGCAGGAGGTGCCTGAGAATGGTCAGATAACAGCTGTCTTCCACATCAGGAGGTGAGGGCCTGGGTACATACACAATATCATAGGGGCAGTGTGCACTAACTCCACATTAACATGCTTCTTGTTTCCAAAACACTAACTTGTATAACCACCAGCTTTTCTGTATCCTACTCAATACCAGAAGGAGGTGTGTTAGTCTCATAATCTGATTGTATTCAGCGAGTGTCCCTCTGGAGGTAGTGCACAATAGGTGTTGTGACCTTATTCATTCTAAATGACCCCATAAATAAAATATATAAAAACTTGAAATTGGTCCCATGCCCAGCAAAACTTTAACAACCAGAGATCAATGCATGTATGTCAGTCTATTTGACTTGTAAATCAGAATTTTAAAAAATGTTGCAATAGGCATATGAATTCAGATATTGGAATATAAGTAATCTGGCATGAATTTGATTTTAATAAGAATATCACTATATTTGGAATGTGAATTTCAGTTTGATGTTACCATATTTAATATGTGGATTTAAATTTGAAATCAGTGAAATTAGCATGAATTTTAGCAAATATTTTAGTATTATTCCGATACATTCTTTAGAGGCTGAAGTATCAGATTTGAATTTTTTCAGTATTTTGCTGCTGGCAACTTTTTGATGAAAGTATTTTGCGTCTGGCTATGTAGAAGTTTCTGTATATTTTCAGGGAAGGTTCGCTCCATGTGACGTGTACAGAGAAGACGTCGGGAAAACTAGAGGATGTTCTAATAGAAGCACAGTGATGAACTTTCCTTCAATATTGAAAGATACTACAGCTTAACAATAAATTTCTTCTAAAATATAGTCAGAATGAGATATAAAAAATACAGTGCAGATAGACACGTTTACTTCTTATGAAAACTCTTTACTTCTGCTAAAAACTGTTACAGACAAAAAAATATTAAATATTGTGAAGAAATCGTTTTGTATACAAGTGTCTGGTCAATGCCCTGGAATATGGACATGAAATGTGCTGAAAAAATTAGAAAGGCTGGCAATAGATGTGGGGAAGAGTTAGGAGTTGTAAACCACGAAGCGACCCAAGTTGAATAAGTGCTATTGCAGATAGATTTNAACTGTTACAGACAAAAAAATATTAAATATTGTGAAGAAATCGTTTTGTATACAAGTGTCTGGTCAATGCCCTGGAATATGGACATGAAATGTGCTGAAAAAATTAGAAAGGCTGGCAATAGATGTGGGGAACAGTCACGAGTTGTAAACCACGAAGCGACCCAAGTTGAATAAGTGCTATTGCAGATAAGGTTCAAATAAAAGATGGTAATGATACGTGTTTTAGTATATATTAGGGGGAGGGGGTATGTAAGCCTGTCCACTTCATTATATTGATTGAAGACGGTTCTTAACGTCTCATTATATAATATTAGGAGTGAAGATTTTTTTACAGGATCAAGTTCTTCGTGTACTCTAAATTTTATATTTAAAAAACAGTACGTTTTCTTATTGCTAACTATCAAAAGACCGAGGTATTCCTTGGTTTTATCTGTTAAACTTGATGTGAAGGAAGGGCATGATGAGATCGGATCTAATCACGGCGAGAAAAGATTATAAATTGCGATGCTGACCATAAAAAAAGCAAATTATGAGGTGAATCCGTTTAGATACAGTATTTCATATAAGATATGGATATAAGAGTCGAGATTAATTCGATTAAAATCAAGGAAAAACTAACAACTGTAAAATGTTATCGAAATCAGTTCATGGAACATTTTGTGTCTATAAATTGCGCCGAAAATGCAGATTTTAAAATATTTTCCTTGGGTTTCTGATAAAATTGACCGGGCTTTAGAGAGAGAGATTTTCTTATTAAGTTTTTTTCACAATGTATTTATTTTGTTCTTGTATTTTTACAACCGGCATAACTACTCCTAGTCATATTTATGATGTTTTGTATAAATCCTATAATATATCCCAATTTTGATAATCGTACTCACCTCTCGATGTTTCGCATGAAGTATTCCCGTAACGAATGTTCAATTCAAAGCTGCCAGAAACTTTACTGTCACAATTGAATATTAATGACAAGGCAATATTACACAAGAAAACATCTGCCAATGCCCTTACGTCAGCTTTATTTACATGTTATCTAGATATAACGACACTCTAAGGACACTCATTAATAAACTAACACTCTACTAGTATAAAGCAGGTTAACAAATATTGAATGGATTTTTATCCATAACATAGAATTCCTCTTCATCTCACACATGCGTTTGGGTAATGTTTTTATTAGAATACACCACCAGCCTTGGCGTTGGTGGTACTCACGGTTTTAGTCCCGACCAGTCTCGTCCGCCTACTCCGTCTTGTAAATGTCCTCATTGTTCATTAAAGTGTTGAAGTGAAGTATTGATACAAAAGTACAAACATTGATTGAAGTTTAAAGTTTCCTTTGGACCAAAAATTTGTGTTCTGGTTCACAAGGACTGCCGTTGTCCAAATTACCATACTTTAAAAACCTTCAGCCTTAATACAAACAGTACGTATACGTACAAACAATAATGAAGGAAGTTTCAGGTTTTCTGTGGACTGTAGCCAGGCCACACAGACTGGCAATGTTATTGTCATTCTCTTAAAAGCTTCAACTAATCTGAAGTGTGCATCAACATGTTCTATTCAATCATTAGCCATTAAAATAAGTCTAAATACAACTTGAACGCGTTTCAGATGTCAGCTGGTCCTGTAGGACCCGCGTCTCAGATGTCAGCTGGTCCTGTAGGACCCGCGTCTCAGACGTCAGCTGCTCCTGTAGGACCCGCGTCTCAGACGTCAGCTGCTCCTGCAGGACCCGCGTCTCAGACGTCAGCTGCTCCTGTAGGACCCGCGTCTCAGATGTCAGCTGCTCCTGCAGGACCCGCGTCTCAGACGTCAGCTGGTCCTGTAGGACCCGCGTCTCAGACGTCAGCTGGTCCTGTAGGACCCGCGTCTCACCACTCGTCTTCACTGTCACCACAAAGGTCTAGCTCTGGAAGACAAGTGCAGATGGAAAAAAGCACAGGTGAATAATTTATCATAAAAATTAATCATAGAATGAAATAAGAACTTGGAACGATGATGGCTCTCTAATGTGCTCCTTTTACTAAGCTATCCTGTGTAAAAAGACAGCACACAACATTTTAAATCAAAATTAGAACAAAAAAGCTTACAACTGTTGCCAATATTTTGGACGACTAAAACGTTTTATTCGTTCAAATTTTTACCCAGATATTTATGTTGTTGACATCCATGAGAAGCAAATACATGTTAAGTTTCATAATAACCAAAAAGTGACGTTTTCATACTTGGAAAAGAAAACGCCAAAAAGAAAATCTAGAGATTTGAACAGAACTCTGTGATAATCTTTGTTTTTACCTTCAAATGTATCAGCTAAACTTCTGACGGCCTTCTTAGATTCTATGGTGCTCTTGTGGTCCTCTCCAAGGATTCTTTGTCTCATTTCCAATGCTCGCTCGCAGTGCCAGAGGCCATCATCTTTCAGCCCCAAGTCGGCCATCACGAGCCCCAGCTCGTGAAGCACGGTCGCGTGGAGCGGGTGATCGCAGACGATCCTGGACACCATTGACAAAGACTCCCTGTAAGCTGCGCAGGATTCGTCCATTATCCTTATGCCTTGAAGAAACTGAGCCTTGTTGCGAAGCGTAATCACAGTCAGCAGATGGTCCCCCAAAATTTGCCGGAGAATCTCCAGTGCGTGGTTGTAGTCCGACATTGCTTCATCTTTGCCAGCATGGAGCGCCTTAAACAAGAACATGATGGCGGTATCCTCGTTGTCGCATACTTCTTGAAACACTTTACACGCAGAATCCAGAAGAGAGTGAAAATCTGAATGTTCTGGTCGCAAAAACAGTAGTTCGACAAACACGATCAAGTTTAGAGACGTGTATGGATAATCTCCTAAAATTCTACGAAAGCCCCTCCTCATCTCCAACACCGCCCCCCTGGTGTCACAATCACGTGACATCCGTCTCGCTCTGCCGATGTTAAAGTCTATTCCGACCCCGTTCTGGTTGTGTTCCACCTTTTCGTCACACAAGGAAAGGTGCTGCTGAACGGACGCCGTGAACTCTTCGTCTGCCTTGTCGAAATCTGACGCAGCACAGAGCAGTTTGGCCATCTCGATACTGAAGAGACAAACCATCTTGATTTCTTCATCGCCGTGGGCTTCACACCATTGGAGTGTATTCTGAAACATCTCGAGGGCGCGGGGCAAATTGCCACTCTCTCCGTGGATTAACCCTAGGGTGTGAAAACACAGAGGGATATTAATGGAAGATCCTTGGTCTTGGTGATACCACTCGAGCGCTTTGAGAACATTTTCTGTGGCTTCTTTGTACTCAGCAAGTTTGTAATGTATACACCCAAGCATCCTGCGGATGAGTGCCACTTCCCTATCATTCTTCACAGCCCTGGCTTCAGTCTTGAAGGACAGTAGGGCGTAGTATGCCTGCAGGGACACCCGATAGATGGCAAGTGTATACAAGACGTGAGCAAGAGTGGAAACGGTCTCTGCAACCAGTGGCTTGTATTGGAACCTCGGTTTACAAAATATGGCGACAGCCTCCATGAGATTCTCTCGCTGCGTGCTGAAGAGCTCACTAGCTTTTCTAAGCTCATCGGATTCACAAAGAGTGTCTAATTCCTGAACTTTGGTCTTAAGATTAAGGATAAAGTGTTTCTCAATACTCCCCATCTCCTGGTCCGTTAGTTTTTTCTTTATAAAGGATCTCAGAATTCCGTGCATGGTATAAAAAGGCTCGGCGTTGCTGTCATCAAAACTGATGAATGTCCTTCTGTGGTAAAACTGCAAGAGCTCGCTAGGCGCTTTGCCCGAATCAGCCAGAAACGGCTCGGCGTCATTACACGTGAAACCAATCGGGAAAATGGAGAGGTACTGAAGACAGTGCTTTTCTTCAATGGACAGGCTTTGATAAGCGAGCTCAAAGCAGGCGTCGAATTTTTGGGATAAATTTACCGAAAGGATCTCGACTAATTTAGTGGGCTCCATGTTTGCGTTTATGGGCAAATCACACGCCGACTCGAGAATTGACGGAATGCACCCACACGCTTTTGCAATCTGGAGGGCCTGGTCGTCTTTAAGTCTCGGGCATAGTTTATTAATGACAACCTTTGCGTCTCTCTCTAATAGTGCAGTCAGAACAAGGACTTTTGTAGGGAGTGAGGGAGGGGGGCGAATATCGCGCTGCGTTGTGCAGAGAATTAATGCATTTTGACATTGCTCTTGAAGCATTGCAATGATGCCCCAAAATCCTTTACTGCATTCTTCATTTTCTACAACCGCTTCACATCCGTCGAGGATTAATAAAGTAGGCCTATTTTCCTTGAAACCCACAAGCAGATTCCGAAGTATTCCTTCCAGGATGGAGTTCCGTGACCCAATTTCAGCAAGGTCCAGGGTGACGTCATTAAAACTGGAGAGAACGGAATACAAGATGTCGAACGTGGTCTTAACATTTTGCAACCTTGCCCTCACTACTCGGACGCCGTATGATTGGAGGAGCTCATAGCCGACTTGGATTGCGATAGCCGTCTTCCCCAAGCCGCCATGACCCTGTACTATCACTGTGCGTGTATTCCGTGAGTCCGTTAGCCAGGTTGTTATCTGTCGTCTTTCCTCCTCTCGGTCGGTGAAATGGCTTAATTTTGACGGCAGCGTGCAAGTCCTCTTTACAGCGTCTGTTAAAAAAAAACAGAATATTTGATATGTGTTAAACAATGCAGCGTTGAATAAACACTTCTTAGAAAACGAATAAAAAGCTAGACTTGAGTAAGCATTGGTGAAGCGTGAATCAACACGTCGATCAAACTTTACTAAGTAAACTGCAGAAAAACGACTTATAAGCATTTTAAGGCCTTTCAAATTATGCGCCTAACTCCTGAATGTCATGTTTATAGAGCAGAAGAGGGATGACAATTAATATACCAGTATATGAGAGAGAGAGAGAGAGAGAGAGAGAGAGAGAGAGAGCAACCTTGGTGTCTTTGGAGTTCTTCTCCTGGTACATCTTCATGCAACTCATCCGCCATCCAAGGAAGGTGGCCCTCAAGCACCTGCAGAAACCTCTCATACGTCTCATCATCTGAATACAGAATAAACTTCAACAGCTTCTCGTTCTGTTGTAGCCTCGTCCATTCTGGGTTTATCTGGTCTTTTTCCTGGACCGTCAGTACCCCCTTCTGGACAAGCAGCTGCCCCAGGGACAGGGCGAAACCGCCGGCCAGCCCATCACACAGCTCGTACCATTTCCTCTGCAGACGAACTTGGTAGTTTAACAGCAGAAGGCGGGCCATGTCTGAAATGTGAATCCATGTTTTATCCCTTTCTTTGGAATATTCAATATCTTAATCAGAGACGTACAAAACAACTGCGATCATGTGTGCCTACAGGTGCGTGTGTGTATTTGCGTGCATATGTGCTTGTACGTGTGTGTGTGTGGATTGTGTATGTGTCTGCATGTGTTGAGAGAGAGTGAGAGAGAGAGAGAGAGTGCGCGCGCGCGTGTGTGACTGTGAGAGAGAGCGGTTATACAAACCCGTTACCTTGGCTTGTGTGCCCAACGTTAACTCGACTTTCTTTTTAACGTTTTTAACAGCATCGCAGCTTGTGAACTATGACACGCCGCACTTATTGGTGTGAAATCGATAGGTTTAGTATAATGAGGTCTTCTTACGGACAATAGGCTATAGCCTTGGGTGGGTTTTAATAAAAAGCTCTTGTGAAGGTGTGCCTCCTTTGTGTTGTATGCATAGCCCTCAATGCTTCCTTGACTTATCGCAGTCCATGATTCAACAACAGCAACGACTGAAAGAAACACGATAATTTAGTTTACATAAAACACTCTATGCTCAATGCAGCGGATTTAATTCACGTTTGAGATGTTTTCTCATCATGCCAAACTCTGCCAAGATTATTTGTATCAGAGTGTGTCTAACAGATCCTTTTTTGATCATTTTGTCGTTAGGGCAGAAGTCACAAAGAAAAAAAGAAAAATTTGCAAAATCATTTAAATGATCTTTTTCTACATTGATTTACTGACATACAGATGTAAATGCACAACCTGAATAATAAATAAATAAACACATTAATAAAAATAAATAAATAAGGTAGAAAAAGAGAGATTAATCTAAGACTTGTATTTTTTCTTTAGATTACAAATATTTGCACTCTACCTTCACTCGTCGCTGAGCTGAACAGTCACGTGGTAGCTGGCGGTCTTCTCTACCACAACCCCGACTTCAGTGGGATAACTAGAAACATCATGAATGCCAGCGTTCAGAGGATCCCCCTGTAGGCCTATTATACCTTTTATTATTATTATTATTATTATTATTATTATTATTATTATTATTATTATTATTATTTTGCAAAAGGTAGATTACTTGGACTCCAGTGCTCGCGGATCGTAATTAATATATTTCGTTCTTGATATAGAAACATAAAAACAACTAGTATAGCGGCTACTCCACTTAAAATACTGCTGAAAGTCTTGTTGAGCATTTTATAATATAATATTTACGCTAAATCAGCTGAAATTTAATGTTTTGAATACCTTTTTTTCAAGCGACTGCCGGCACACCAGCAATGACAGCAATAACATCTTACTCAATATGGACAAACACGGACAGGTAAGGGCTCTCTTTGTGTTCCCAGTGCTGAAATAAAAGTGTTTCTTGAAATTTTATGTCCAGAAGACTTACTCTTATGTCCAGAAGACACCAATGCTCTCGGTTTGTTTCATATTTTGTTATTTACCCCTGACAACTACTCGGTATTACGGCTGTCCTCAAAACTTTGATAAAATAAAGAATATAGCTGCGTATTTTTCAATACAATACATTGATTGTTTTATTTGTCAGAACAAATATTATACGTAAAAATTCTATTTTAGAGGACGTACTGTTAAATAATAAACTGATCATATGTATTTCGCAGTGAACATTCCACAACCTGTTCCCTCGTAATTGTTAATTTTTCACAGAATATTCCACACAGTAGTATTAAAGGTAATTTACTATGTCCTCTCCTAAAATAAGATCCTAACATGACAAATGTCACCAATTTACCGCCGTTCATTATAATACCGAAATGAGTAACGTGTATATAAACGTTTGTTTAAAAAATCAGCGGCCATTCTTTTCATGAATTATGTGATTGCCAGCAGGTATTATAAATGGGCTGTATTTGGTTGACATTTTAAACAAATTTCGGCAAGGCAACGGCATGAAATAAAATATCAGAACTTGGTAAGATCAGACGAAGAGCTACATTAACTTGCAAATAAACTAATGGTGAGTTACTTGGATTTGTCAGTCTAGCAAATGTAAATAAATACAGTTAAGAACAAGAAAGAAGCAGATACACACGCATATGGCGCTCACACAAATGCACACACATTACACTTACAAACATACATAAACATACATACACACACGCACACATACACATACATTTGTGCGATTTGTAACTGCAGATCACATGCATATCCTATATATAAAGACACAATACCAGGTTCTAAAGTTAGGAAAGTATGCGCCTTTTTATCATGTGCATTGACCTGTTTTCCTGGGTCAAATAAGATTAAACTGAGCTCCAAAAACCATTTCTTTTATGAATTGCATAACAAAGCAGAGTTGCATGTCTTTATTGTAACCTCAAAGAAGATGTGCGAGTAAACACAACGTTTATCACGTGGAGCACGTGGTGTTAACGTCACCCTTTCTAGTACAGGGAGAGTCCAATAATATTTATCATGATAGAGAGCAGGAAGTAGGAAGTAAGAGAACTTGCTGTGTTGGGTTTGTGTACGGTTTATAGAATGTGCGTCATTTAATTTATCTCAAGGTCACTGCAGAGATTTATTGGAGGGCCCAGTTGTGACCTTTCAGGAAGATAAAGAGAAGATGCAACTGGTGGTTATTTTCACGGTGTTTTGTTTTGAGAAGATAGTCGATGGGGTCAATTTAAATAATAGTATGTTACTCTCTCTCTCTTTCTCTCTCTCTCTCTCAGTATAGTCAGCATAATTGGAGCCTAGCAACGAGCTGTTCATTGATCATACGTTCAATTTTGTTGTAGAGGCAAACATTAAGTATTAAAAGTGTGTACCAGATTGTTTATGGAGACTATTGTTTATATGTTGGTTTGTAATGTGTAGTAACTTGTTCTGTGTACCTGAGTTCACAGCTAAGCCTTTATGTGAATCTGAGATACAGACTTGACATTTAATATGGAATATTTCAGTTTTAAAGGTATACCTAGGTAAAAATGCGTTCTTTTTTTTAAAAAAAGTCAGATCTCACATCAAGATATCTAACTGGAGAAGTATGAAGTTAGGTGTGTCGCTACCAATTAACTGACTACCAAGTCTGTTGCACTGCTGCATTGTGTAACATGCACTGATTTAATTGGCTAGTGCTCCTTTGGGCTGGTCAAAGCTTGGCTTTGATGAAGCATGGTTCTGTCAAAAAAGTATCCATATGTCGGCAACTACTGTATCGAAGAATTTGAAATTTTGCATGCAAGCGGTCGGTTTTGTAGTGCGTAAATGAGTTAAGCAGTGTTTTATAAAATTGTTAAGCTGTGCCAGAATGGCGCGAAAAAGACAGACATTGCCAGACATTAAAAAAAGATAAAAAGTGATTCTCAGTAAAAGTACTTGCATTTTATTATCGTCTTTTAGAGTTATAATATTCAACTTGATTCTCATACGCTTCATTTCAGAATTAAAAAGACTTGGCGAAGCCATACGTTGCTCAGAATTCCCGGTCACTTTCAACCAAGGGGCATTCTCATGCACTCCCACTTTTGAGGGTTGTGAATATGTTGTTAAATTTACCAACTCAAGTGTATGCGCGTGTTCAGGAAGTAATCTGAATGTTTGCAGTTGTAAAATCCTCTCAGATTACCAGTGTGCAAAAATACAGGACAACCCCACAGATACAGATTATACGAGTGTTATACCCTCCATAAGCAGTAGCCATACAACAAATACAGATGTCTCAATCACCACGCAATCAGTGAGAGGTGAGGCTACAGGTACATTATATCACTGAACCAACCGAAACTTAAAGATTGTATAATAAAAAGAAGAATGTTTTCAATATTATGATTTTGTTAAAACATGTATAACTTTGTTATAAGACAAGTCAAGCTAGATCTACGGATGTATTAGTTTAGTCCGAAGGTAAGTTGTTTTTTTATGTTACCTTGTGTTGAACATGAAGTGCATTGTACATGTAGGCCTACATGTATGTGCTTTCTAAAAAAGGCATTTTGTAGATATTCACTATTTTTAATTGTTCTATTCTGAATAAAAAATAGAATAAATAAATAAATAAATAAATAAATAAATAAATAAATAATGACTGCAAAGAAAATAGTTCAATATGTGTCCCATGCGGACCTGTAGCCAGCAATGTTATAAGAGGGGATCTTTATCATAAAGCCTACGTTACCTGGATAAAAATTTAGCCACAGGGGACCTTTTCCGGCAAAAAGGACGGTTCGTTCAAACCCAACGACCCCCCCCCCCCCCCGGTTCCAGGTCTGTCATGCATTCAGTCTTACAGTCAAAAGACACGCCCTGAAATCAGACAAGTCCAACGATCTCCTACCAGGCGGTCGCACCCTGTTGGGGATTCAAATGTCAGTAAATGGACATGTAGCAGTGTATTGTTTTGCGCCATGTAATTCTCTGTTCGTTAAATTGTCATCTACATCTACCATGTTCCAGCCAGAACAGATCTGCCTAAGGCAAGCGGCAGAACAGCGGCCTGTGACGGCCTCAGTGTGGGAGCTTTGGTTGGGGCTGTCTTGGCTGCCGTCATGGCAACGCTGATAGCGGGGCTCGCAGTACTGTGGTTCTGCTGGAAAAGGTGTGTGGACTTTTTTTTTTGAAATCTCAGCGTCATATACCCTTTTCTTTATCTTGTTCATTCATTTTTTATACAAATAATTGTTCATTTTTACATTTGTTTGCATTTGCGTAGTACTTTAGTGTACGAAATTCGACTAGTAGGCCTAACGTGTAAATGTTACAACAGGCAATGAGGTGTGTGTGAAACTTGATACGACTGTAATTAAACCCAGGATCTTACATTCAAACTTATCAATTATATCAACTGGTGAAAATTTTGTTACATGTTTTCAGAATACGGAATAAGATGGAAGAACTACAGACGACGCTTAAATTCAAATCAAACGAATTGGTAAGTCACGTCGTTTATGGTTTTATCCAGATTGATTAATTTTTTCAAATGTTACATATCACTACCCTAGGTTCTAGATTCCG